GTTGTTACAAATGGTATCAGAGTCTAACCCAACCGAAAGTGCTGCCAATGAGGACATTGGCGTCTTAAGAAGGTGATTGTGGCAACCACGTAAGCTGGTGTGCCATGGGTAGGTGTAAGAAAGACTGACAGACTACCACATCGGGCGAGTTACAGATGCATAGTCCCACATTGCCTGGGTAAAGGAAATGTGAAATGCTTATATGTGATGATACTATCTCTAAATGGCACGAGGTATTTTGAGATAAAATCCAAAAAATCAAAAACCGTGCGGCTTCGTCTAAAAGCGAACAATATCATATTATGTGGTGGAGTGAGTTTATATTACAATGATATATCTTTAATTACCAAATTAAAAAATGATGGGTACACTTACCAATATTATTCTTGTTATTAATAAGAATGGCCGGTAAGGACCTAATGCTACGTTTGATTATAGATATGAAACGTGTATGAATGTAATGATAATAACCATTTTAGTGTTTGATTAGACTAATTTAAAATTTAGAATGTAATAAATTTCAAATTGAATTCTCCAAAATATCATCTATACTAGATCTGACCAACTGCCCATCCTACCTCCTCTACGTTCTTGACAGCCCATCTTTGTCTCAGTAGAGTCTTTCAGTGGCATGTTTCGGTCCTCTTCCCCATTACTTAGAAAAAGTGAGCCACCGGTTCAGGTACAACAAATATATTAAATTAACAAAATGACATTCTTATATAATTTTCTAAAAATAAATGGTGGCAGTGGCGGTGGTGGATGGTAGCGATAATGGTGGTAGAGGTGGAAAATGATAGTTGTGTATGTGGTGGTGTTGGAAGGTAGCGGTCGAAGGCGGTAGTGGTGTTGGTGGAAGGCGGTGGTAGTAGTGTGGAGTTGGTGGAAACCAATGAAGGTGACTGTGGTGGTGGTGGTGACAGTGGTGGAAGGTGAGGGCGATAAAAGGCGGCGGCGGTGGCGGCGGTGGTGGTGATGGAGGTGGTGGCAGTGGAAGGCAGTAGCGGTGGTGTAAGGTGATTATAGTGGAGAAAGGCAGTGGCGGTTAGGGTAGAGCTAGGAATTAAATTTAGGGGGGCACAGTGTAAAAATAAAAAATAAAAATTCAATAATCACGCCAATAAATATAGATTCTATAAATTAAGAGAAAAAGAAGAAAACTTACCTCAAAATAATATGTCAATCAATGAGTAGTTTAAGAATGATGCATAGTTAAAAATAAAAAATAAATAAATAGAAAGGAAAAAAAAAAATGAGAGAGTTTTGAAAGGGGAAAAAATTAGAGTTTGATTCAAAAAGGAAAATTTGACTTTTTTAAAGGAAATTAAAGAAATTCAAAGAGTAAAAAAGAGAATAAATACAAAATTTAATTAATAATTTTTAAAAATAAAAATTTTAGGGGGGCATTATATGAATTTTTTCATATATAATTATAAAAGTACATAAATTTAGTAGGAGTATATATTTTATAGCAAGCGGGGGCAGGGCGCACTTACCCCCTGGGCATACACTAGCTCTGTCCCTGGTGGCCGTGGTGGAAGATAGTGGTGGTGAAAGGTGGTGGCCGTGGTGAAAGGCTGTGGCGATGGTGGAGGTGGAAGGTGGTAAAATGCGATGACATGGTGGTTGCAACAAAAGAAGGTGGTGTTAGTGGTGAAAGGTGGTGGCGGTGGTGGAAAGCGGCGGGCAATGATGAAAGTCGGTGGTGGTGAAAAGCGAAGGTGATTGTGATGGAAAATAGTTGTGATTTTTTAACTTGGAACATGAGGATTTTTTAAGAAATTAATTTTTTTTATTTTTTAAATTTTAAATAACTTGGGAATGGAATGGCAATTGTATATGTTTAGTTGTGAAATAGATTTTATTCTAATGAAATGACCATTTTCACATTAAATTGCATACCAAATAAGGAATGATTAAAATGAACATTTCATTCCATTCAATTTCTACGTATCAAATACAACATAAGTATAGTCCTAAATTACCCCTACATATAATTGCCGCATTATATTATATTTTTCACAATCTCATGAGTCTCATTCCTGTCCATGCATCTATTTACATAGTCATAAACTCAAATTATTGTAGTCCAATACTTATGCATAAAATAGAAACCTAATTATACTGAAAAAGTAAGACAAAATACTTAACCTTGACTGTGTTGATTCACATGGTTGAGAACTATTTAATAATTTCTCCAAATTAAACCATACTATTTATACTTTTATCATCCTCCCACTCACTATGGAAGGGAAGGATGATAGATGATATATTATTACCGGAAGGATTGGTTCGGTCCATTAATGATTGATATGCAAATAATTACTATGTTTAATTTTTTATTTATTTTTATGTGTCAAATAGTAATTAGTCCAGATTATATAATTTCTCATTCTAGAGTTTGTTATTCCTCATCCTCTTGTTTTCTTTATTTTCACTTAGGGGTTATGGTTATCCCATTTTTAATTTTTCTAACTTAATTGTCAAATTAATCATTGTTTTTCTCCCTTTCTATTTTACTTTATGGTGCAAAAATTTGGCAAAAAAAAAAAATTAAAAATAAGGGGGCAAAGATCACACAAAAACACTGTAATAAAATGGAACAAGAAAATATAAGTAGAGACTCATAGATTCAACAATCCGTCAATTTGGGATCCAATTCGAGATTTTTCTTGGGAGGTAGCGGGAAGGAATTGGAATGTAATAAAGAATATTGATTCATACAGAAGAAAAAATTCATACAGAAGAAAAGGTTCTCTATTGATTCAAACACTATACCTATGGCATAGGGATAGAGGAAGAGGAAAAACCGAAGAAAAATCAATCTGATTTATTTTTTACCCCTCACTCAATGAGAAAATGGGTCAAATTCTACGTGATCAAACCTATGGGACTTATTCTCAGTATTTCCCATTGAGTCATCCCTCGTCTGTTTTGCTGCCTTTTATGAGGCCCAGGAGTTCAAGCTTTCCCTTATGCTTGTGTTCTTCCCCCTCTTGGTCTGGTTTACGGTGCACCCACTCGAACCAGTTCTTCCTTCTTTAGCTTAGCAGCAGGTATGTGAGTCGGAGGTTTAGCATGAGCTGATTAGCTGGATTGGGGTTCGACCCCTGCCACAGAAACATAGGCTTGGGGATGATGGAAGGGAATAAAAAAGAAGAGGGAAAAATAAATAAATAAAAATGAAGTAGAAGAACCCAGATTCTAAACCAACAAATTCAAACTTGAAAAGGATCTTTTGAGTTCTCAAAGAATGAGGGGCAAGGGGATTGATCAAGAAAGATCTTTTGATCTTATTATAAGATCGTGATTGGATTCACATATGTTTAGTAAAGAGAATAATCTTCTTCTTTGAAAATAATTATAAAAATACTATTTACTCAATATTATTTCTTTTCAAATCTTTTTATTTTTGGAAGGATAGCGCTTTATCTCTCCAAATCTCTCTATCTTTTCTTCTCTATCCATTCATTATCCAAACACTCAATCCAAACTGAGCCTTAAGAGAGATTAGCCGTAATCCCTAAAAATCAGTGTTAATTATCGTAGCTTATATTTATTATCGCAAGTGATTTCATATTAAGTAATGATGGAGCAACCGAACGATTTTTCACGAAAATTCACCGAATCAGACGTGGCTACGGCATAATTTTTAAGTGTATCCTTTATCACCTCACGTGGGCTTGGGTGGGTCATCTATCGTTCATCTTCAATAGGTTGTCTTCAACCTCACAAATTGTTATCAAATTTTCTAAGATCCAATGGCAGCACTCAACCGCGAGGAGCCCGAGAAGATGTTGTTCCGGTGAAAACACAGTCACTTGCAATGGAAGCCTTCTCAGCGCAGTCTCTTACCAGATGTTGAAGCGCAGTCTCTTGCTATGGAAGCCCAAATAATCCATCTTGCAATGGACGCCTTCGAAGAGTAGTCTCTTGCCAGACGTTGAAGCGCAGTCTGTTGCTATGGAAGCCCAAATAATCCCTTTCCAGGCGTATCGCTGCTGATTTTGCCGTTTGAATATACTAATAAAATAAATCGAATCTTAATTCACAATCTATTAATAAAGTTGGATGTTGAAAAAAAAAAAAAAACATACAATAGAGACTAATTGTTGTTGAGTTTTTTTTGGGAAGCTTAGAACAGAAAAATTATAGCGATTTAAAAGGAATTGATTTGAAATGGTGGAGCTCTTGGTTACTTGATGATGCAAAGCTTCCAAATCTATAATTAAGATTTTTCATCAGATCTCCTCCTCTCTCTATCTATATATTTATATAATAATTATGTTGTGTTTGATCTGTATGAGGTTAGAATTATGAAACCTAGAATTTTATTAAAACTGTAATGTTTATTTTTAGTTATATATTAATATAATTATATATTTTTTTTCACACATTTATGCTTGTTTGAACACGTATATGAATGCTAGACTTTGTTTTTGGTTAGTAATTTATGGGTATAAGACCGTCTCTTGCAATGGAAGCCAAAACAATCTCTCTCGTCGCCGTTGAGTGCTCCGATTCAACCTTAAGAATATGATATAAGCAACAGGAAGTTGAAGACAGTTAAGGACCCATCCAAACAGCTTACACGTGAGGTGAGAGAAGACATTGAATTTTCACTCTTAAACAATGCTTAAATAAGCTGACGTGTCCTTACCAGGTCAGGTTCGATGAAATTTCGGGACTTTTTGTTCGGTTCCCATGTCATTATTCTTTCATATTTTGTCCTGTTTCGGACTACCAATTGCTGCGACTAGTGTGTGTTTGCTGTGACTAGTGTGTGTTTCGCAAGTTTTAGGTTTATCTAAAGCGACCTAGCATGTTTAAATTTTACCTATAATTACAGTTGATCGCCGATTGAATTTTTTTTCTTTTTTTTTAACAATGACAATGAAATTTAAAGTTTAATACATAAATTAATGCGGGAGGTCTAATTCGATCCTCAATAAAATATTAAATTTCATCTAATCACATATCAAATTCGTATGCATAGCGCTAGCGCGTATCCCACCCACCCACGCAATCATCTTATCACTTTGTTGGGTCAAATTCTTTAGGCGCTCCGTGCTTCTCTCTGCCAACAACACTCGTTCAACCACAACACCACCCACCATCGCCTAATCCTTCTCTCTTTCCACTCACCACCGCAACCACCACCAACCATTAAAACAGGCTTTGCATCAGTTATCAACCCAAACCCCAACTCGGCTGAGGAGAGTCGAAGTAAAACGGCGGCGTCGAAGGCTTGGTTCACGAAATTGGCCAGGACTGAAATTGAAAGATTTTATTTTTATTTTATTTTTTATTTTTTGTGGAGATTGCTAATGGTTTTGTGTTGGGAAACAGACCCAACAATTTATTGGTTTTAGTCTTCGTTCTCGTTCTATTAATTTCTGTTCAATTTGGGGGTGATGTGGCTATAGTTGTGTGGGAGCGCCTATATAAACGTGTGGAAGAGAGGAAAGAGGCATAATTTGGGGTGGTTGTGGATGGTGGTGGTGGTGGTGGTGATGAGTAGTGATGGCAAGAGGTGGAGTAATCCGACAACGTAAGTGTTGTGGTGGTGCAATCCGACGGCGTTCTCTGGGTTTTCTTCTCTTCGGCTCCGGCGGATCATGTTGGGATCTTCACCTCGTCAGCAAACTGCCTTTCCACCTTTCCCGCCACCACACCGCCGTATACTTGTCCCTGAGGCCGTGTGAGAGATTGACCAGAACATCACCTCACGCTGCAATCTTTCGCGGAGATCCGGTCATCATCAACGTCGACGATAACAGTCGTCCGTACATCAACCTTCTAATCTCCTCCTTAGCCTCCGTCGTCCCCAAAATCGCATCCCACCTTCATATTATAGATCACATATCTTCACATCTCCCTCAATTTGATATTTATATTTATAATTGATCCCTCAATTTGATATTTATATTTATAATTGATAGATTATAGAGGGATGAATATTTGATTGGTGAGACAAAATAAGAGAAAGAAGAGAGTAAAGGGGCGATGTTCTCGGCATCGGCGGCGGGGGGTTTGGCTAGGGTAAATATGTAATATTATTTATTAAATTGGTCTATTTTTGTATATTTAGTCATTTGATGTAAGTTGTACAATGGAGTCATGATACTTTAGAAATCTTTAATCTATAGAGTCGTCACGTGTGTGGGTCACTTAAATTACCTGTGGGTCCACTTGAGAGTTATTGTATCACATTGCATCATTTGTGCGGTACGCGTTGGTTGTCAGACCGTCATATGACCCTCGTTTCAAACATTTTAGATCTACTTGGTTTTTATCCATCTCTTTTCCGATTGAACCATGTTCTCTCTCTTTCCCCCGTTCTTGTTATCGCCGTCACTCTCTACCCTAATTGAATGTCACCCTCGTTTCAAACATTTTAGATCTACCTTGGTTTTTTTTCATCTTTTTTTCGATTGAATCATGTTCTCTCCCTCCATTCTTTTTATAGCCGTCACTCTCTACCCTAATTGAATAAGGTATGTTTTTTTTTTTTTTTTTTTCTAATTCTTATATTAAGAATTTTAAAATTATAATATCTCAATATGGGTTTTAATCTCGCTAGTCCTAAATTTTTCCTCTCATTCGTATTATTTTCAGAACTGTGAAATTATTCATTTTAATTTTTGGATTTATTATTATTGTTTTTTCTTAGATTTCTTTTGGGTTTATTATGGAATTATTTATTTACCCTAATTAAACTAAGTAATATATATATTTTTTTCTGATCCTTATCTTGGATTTTATAACTATAATATTTCAATATGAATTTTAAAACTATAATTACTAAATACTTCTTTTCAAGCTCTCACTGCACCTAAATTTTTCTTTCTGATTTTTTATATTTAATTCGTGTAGAATTTTTAATTTTAATTTGTATTATCTTAACAATTGAATAATCTATTATTTTTTCTTACCAGATTTTTTTGGTTTTATTATGAGATTATTTATTTATCCTAATTGAATCTAAGTATGTTTTCTTGTGATCCTTTTAGGATTTTAGAACTATAATATCTTAATATTTCTTTTCATGCTCTTGCTGAATATAAATTTTCACTCATCCATTTCATTTTCGTAACTGTGAAATTGTTCATTTTAATTTTTTTGATTTTTTATATTCAATTCTGTGTAGAATTTTTATTTTAATTTGTATTATCTTATTATCTTGAATCAATTAGAGTTGAGAAAGGTGGAGATAGAAAGATAGAGAAGTAGATCAATTTAGATCTGAAATGTTTTCAAAACGAGGGTGATCAGTTTAGATCCGAAATCTTTTACAGTCTCCAATATCTTTAGTTTTAATAGGACTAAAGACTTTGTTGTACACTGTAAAAGTAAAAAAATATTTTAAAAATATTAAAAATTTAAATACATCAACCAACTGACCTAGATGTGCAGCGGCACACTTAACTAGGAGATTGACATCTTATCTGCGTTTCCAGCTATGAAAGAAGTTTTTTGGTATAACCAAAACCGGTTACCCAAAAAAAATAATAAAGAAGTACATTAAATTACCTATTGAAGTTGAAGAATCTTTTCCAGTATCCCTATGATCCACTATTTCTATAAAAAAAACGTTGCTCTTTCTTTGTCTATTTTCTCTCTCTACTCCAACGGAGCGTTGCTCTTTCTTTGTCTATTTTCCCTCTCTCTCCCCTCTAGTCCTCTTAAACACTGGGGTGTGTGTTAAGGTGTGTGTTAATCTGTACCAGTGTAACTTAGTTGTCTCTCTTGGCTTTGTTTTTTTCGTTAATTTTTTTTTCGTTTGGTATATAAGGTCTAAAGTTGATAGATGTAGGTTTAATTTTGCATTTATATAGAGGATTTATATACAATATATGTATCTTTTTTTTTGTTCTTGTTATTCTCCATGGAATGGTGGAGATTTGGAGAAGGGAATAAAGAGACTGACGACTGATTTTATGCTTGTGTGGTGAAGAAGCGAAATCATCAGCAACGTTCTACTACAATGTCATTGAGAAGGTACTATTTTTTACTTTAATGTTATGTTTAAAAGTTTTTTTTTTTTCGGAAAATATTATGTTTAAAAGTTCCTCATGGGATGCCTTGAAAGAATCAGAGAAATTTAATAAAAAAATTGTTCTAATTTTTTTTTTTTTTTTTCAATTCAATTTGGTGCAGTAGCTGGGCCAATGACCCACTCAGAAGCCCAGGAGAGAGAATGAGTGGGAAGCCCAACCTCATTACTCGGTACATGGAAGACCAACCCATCACAACTCCCCAACCAGTCCGAAGCCCAAGTGAGAAGCCCAATCTCACAACTCAAGTACCGTCTACATTCCACCGCTCTTCAACCTCTGTGACAACTGCAGTCGGAAAGCAGTGGAATTTCAGATTTCAGAGATGGGGATTTTTTCATTTCTCCGGGGTCGTCTTCCCTTCTTTAGAGAAGCTGTAGCGACTGCTATTTGGAATCAATGTCATGATAAAGCAACTCCTCCCTCAGGCAAAAGAGGGAAATGGTGGTGCTGGCTCATACGAGGTTTGTTCCTGATCAACCCATACTTCTCACACACACACACACACACACACACACACACACACACACATACACGACCATATATAAGGTGATTGGTGTTATTTACATTTTACAGGGCTTAGGAGTGGTCAATACTTGTTGGTTTTACATTATAAGACAACTCAATGGAGCTACTACTGGTATGTTCGTAGATGCACTTCTTGTGTTTGTGTTTTTGTTTCAATGAAGACTATTCTCTTGAGCTCTCTAATAATATGTAGCATCAAATACTTTCTCAATTTTACCTCTAGATCTTCCAAAGTTTTGCAAAAGCTAGGCCCAACACAACACTGCCTTAAAAAATCTCCAGTACCAAATCGTGACTGTATAGAACAATCTTGAAAGGGTCCTGATTCTCTAACCTCAACACTGTGCACCTCAATAGCTTGTTAGATCTATTCTCTTGCTTTGATGTTTACATTAAACTATTTTTCCAAGCTCGTTATATAGGTCAATGGAGTGTTGATTAACTTGGCTTCCTACTCTGATTTTTTTAGTACTGAAATGTAGAATTAATTTCCTTTGAAGAATAAAGATGTTGGTCCTTATTTTTGTTATCCCTTGGGAAGCTGTTAGATTGTTTGACTGTTTAAGGTTCTAATAAGTCGAGAGTCTGAGTAATTAATAAGACTTAGAGGGAGGATGAATAGGCCATTTGAATAAGTACATTTTAAAGTTAGTTTAAGTAGTTATGTTGATTTGAATTTGAATTTTAAGTTTTGGAGTGGTCAAAACTTGTTGGTTTTACATTGTGACATGTTTCAATGGACATACTACTGGTATGTCACTTGCTGTGTTTGTTTGTTGGTTTCAATGAAGACTATTCTCTTGAGCACTAATAACATGTAGCATCAAATATTTTCTCAGTTTTACCTCTACATCTTCCAAAGTTTCGCAAAAGCTAGGCCCAACATAACACTGCCTTCAAGAATCTCTAGTACCAAATTTTGACTATAAACAACAATCTTGAAAGGGTCCTGATTCTCCAACCTCAACACTGTGCACCCCAATAGGTTGCTAGATCTTATTCTCTTGCTTTGATGGTTACCATGATACTATTTTTCCAAGCTCATTATATATGTCAATGGGGTGTTAATACTGAAATGTAGAATTTATTTCCTTTGAAGAATAAAGATGTTGATCGTTATTTTTGTTACCCCTTGGCTGTTAGATTGTTGGACTGCTACCCAAGGTTCTAATAAGTCCAGAGTCGTAATGAATCTGAGTAATGAATAAGACTTATAGGGAGGATGAAAAGGGCCATGTGGATATTAATTTTAAAGTTATTTTAAGGAGTTATGTTGATCTTGATTTGAATTTTGATTTTTATCCATTAATTTTTGGACACTACGAAATGACTTTTTTTTTTTCGTTTCAGGTATTGATATGGGTGATTTTAATCACTTTGGCTTGTTCCCATTCAATCCCATCAAGGTATCTATTTTACCCTTCTATTTAATGGCTTGGCATGAAAATTGTGAGATGTCACTCTCAATGTGAACTGATCAAGTTTGAGTGCATGTTAGATTATAAATATACATTATCCATCTTCTCAACCATTCAGGAAATTTGAAATATAATAAGAAAACATTAAACTGATTATAAGTTTGAATGCATTTTAGATTATAAATATACATTATCCATCCTCTCAACCATTCAGGAAATTTGAAATATAATAAGAAAACATAATGTTCAAAATGTTTTCTAAGTCCTTTTTTCTAGTCTCTACTGTGCAGATAACCATGCATGAGATAAGCTCAAATTATTTGAGCGGTTGCCCTTTAATGCCATGGTATCAGAGATGTCACTCTCCATGTGTGGTTAAGTTTGAAGGCATGTTAGATTATAACTATACATTATCCATCCTCTCAAACAATCAAGGAAATATGAAAAATAATGAGAAAATATAATGTTCAAAATGTTTGAACATAAGTAAATCATAACGGCTGGACTTCTTCTCCAGCCAGTTTTTTAGATAACCATGCATGCGATAAGTTCAGATTATTTAAGCATTTATTCAAATGTTCTACTTGAATTACAGGATGCTAGATCTCTCTTTTATACTTTGGGCGAACAGAGGAGGCTCATAGAATGGGGTAAGTATAAAGATGATAAAATCTATACCCCTCCAAGGCAATATAGAACGAACTACCCAGTTTTTATGACTATTGATGAATACATGGAGTGGCTAAGTACTGCCACGAGTGACAATGAGAAGGATCGGATCTATGGCTATGTTAAATCACATAGAATTTATGTTGTTGAAAGATCTAAACCAGAGAAATTGCTTAAGAGCCCAGTCAAGGATTCTAGCTGGAAAGCTCCTCCATTAGGGTGTGTTAAAATTAATGTTGATGGAGCATTCAGAAAAGTGCAAGTCCAGGGTAAAGATGATGAAGGAAAAGGAGCTTGGGGTGCAGTGTATAGAGATCATGAGGGAAATGTTTTATTGGTACTTTGTGACGCAATAGATAATGCAACCACGGCATACCAATGTGAGGTCCGAGCCTTTTTGGAAGGTCTTAAAGGTGCACATAAATTTGGTTACAAGTCTATTTTTATAGAAAGTGATTGTCAGAATCTCATTGCTGTGCTGGACAAGGAAATCGATGATAAAAGCGAATTTGCAGAGATCTACAGGTATTAAACTTTGTATTATACTTTATTTTTCTGTTTGAACTTATAATTTTTTTTTGTTAGTTGTGACCAAGACAGTGTACCTTATTTTTCTCTTCGAAATGGTAGTGAGATTAAAACAGAGTACGAGGGCTTCGATTTCAAGGACAAATGGCACATCTTCAGGGAAGCTAACACATTAGCCCATCGCGTTGCTCAAGGCAGGATTAATGGCGTAATACTTAATCAGGATGTCATTAAGTACCTTGCAAAACAAGATGTGTCCTTCCGTTTTGCTCCTGTTATTGCCAAGCCCAATTAGTGGAGATTCCAATTCTTCCTGTATTTCAGTAGTGAAGTTAATTGATCTTAGGCACTTATCCTTTTGTTTGATTTCGACACTCAAGAAAGAGATCCCTATTGTTGCCAGTTTTACATTAAGGGGAACAATGTTTGGGCTTTCTTTGCTATTTGTCAATACTTGTTACTATTGGGAAGTTGTAGGATTAATTTTTTTTTTAATTATCATATTATCTTAACATGTTTGGTTTTTCTTTGTTCTCTTCAATAGTTTGGGTTTCCTTGTCTTTTTATTTTTGGTTGCTGACTTGAGTACTTAATTACACCAAAACTTTTCTAAACCCACATAAATAAAGAGAAGAAAAAGAGAGAGAAAGACACATTTTTTAAAAAATTAATCCTGCAACTTCCCAATAGTAACAAGTATTGACAAATAGCAAAGAAAGCCCAAACATTGTTCCCCTTAATGTAAAACTGGCAACAATAGGGATCTCTTTCTTTAGTGTCGAAATCAAATAAAAGGATAAGTGCCTAAGATCAATTAACTTCACTACTGAAATACAGGAAGAACTGGAATCTCCACTAATTGGGCTTGGCAATAACAGGAGCAAAACGGAAGGACACATCTTGTTTTGCAAGGTACTTAATGACACCCTGATTAAGTATTACGCCATTAATCCTGCCTTGAGCAACGCGATGGGCTAATGTGTTAGCTTCCCTGAAGATGTGCCCTTTGTCCTTGAAATCGAAGCCCTCGTACTCTGTTTTAATCTCACTACCATTTCGAAGAGAAAAATAAGGTACACTGTCTTGGTCACAACTAACAAAAAAAAATTCTAAGTTCAAACAGAAAAATAAAGTATAATACAAAGTTTAATACCTGTAGATCTCTGCAAATTCGCTTTTATTATCGATTTCCTTGTCCAGCACAGCAATGAGATTCTGACAATCACTTTCTATAAAAATAGACTTGTAACCAAATTTATGTGCACCTTTGAGACCTTCCAAAAAGGCTCGGACCTCACATTGGTATGCCGTGGTTGCATTATCTATTGCGTCACAAAGTACCAATAAAACATTTCCCTCATGATCTCTATACACTGCACCCCAAGCTCCTTTTCCTTCATCATCTTTACCCTGGACTTGCACTTTTCTGAATGCTCCATCAACATTAATTTTAACACACCCTAATGGAGGAGCTTTCTAGCTAGAATCCTTGACTGGGCTCTTAAGCAGTTTCTCTGGTTTAGATCTTTCAACAACATAAATTCTATGTGATTTAACATAGCCATAGATCCGATCCTTCTCATTGTCACTCGTGGCAGTACTTAGCCACTCCATGTATTCATCAATAGTCGTAAAAACTGGGTAGTTCGTTCTATATTGCCTTGGAGGGATATAGATTTTATCATCTTTATACTTACCCCATTTTATGAGCCTCCTCTGTTCGCCCAAAGTATAAAAGAGAGATCTAGCATCCTGTAATTCAAGTAGAACATTTGAATAAATGCTTAAATAATCTGAACTTATCGCATGCATGGTTATCTAAAAAACTGGCTGGAGAAGAAGTCCAGCCGTTATGATTTATGTTCAAACATTTTGAACATTATATTTTCTCATTATTTTTCATATTTCCTTGATTGTTTGAGAGGATGGATAATGTATAGTTATAATCTAACATGCCTTCAAACTTAACCACACATGGAGAGTGACATCTCTGATACCATGGCATTAAAGGGCAACCGCTCAAATAATTTGAGCTTATCTCATGCATGGTTATCTGCACAGCAGAGACTAGAAAAAAGGACTTAGAAAACATTTTGAACATTATGTTTTCTTATTATATTTCAAATTTCCTGAATGGTTGAGAGGATGGATAATGTATATTTATAATCTAAAATGCATTCAAACTTATAATCAGTTTAATGTTTTCTTATTATATTTCAAATTTCCTGAATGGTTGAGAAGATGGATAATGTATATTTATAATCTAACATGCACTCAAACTTGATCAGTTCACATTGAGAGTGACATCTCACAATTTTCATGCCAAGCCATTAAATAGAAGGGTAAAATAGATACCTTGATGGGATTGAATGGGAACAAGCCAAAGTGATTAAAATCACCCATATCAATACCTGAAACGAAAAAAAAAAAGTCATTTCGTAGTGTCCAAAAATTAATGGATAAAAATCAAAATTCAAATCAAGATCAACATAACTCCTTAAAATAACTTTAAAATTAATATCCACATGGCCTTTTCATCCTCCCTATAAGTCTTATTCATTACTCAGATTCATTACGACTCTGGACTTATTAGAACCTTGGGTAGCAGCCCAACAATCTAACAGCCAAGGGGTAACAAAAATAACGATCAACATCTTTATTCTTCAAAGGAAATAAATTCTACATTTCAGTATTAACACCCCATTGACATATATAATGAGCTTGGAAAAATAGTATCATGGTAACCATCAAAGCAAGAGAATAAGATCTAGCAACCTATTGGGGTGCACAGTGTTGAGGTTGGAGAATCAGGACCCTTTCAAGATTGTTGTTTATAGTCAAAATTTGGTACTAGAGATTCTTGAAGGCAGTGTTATGCTGGGCCTAGCTTTTGCGAAACTTTGGAAGATGTAGAGGTAAAACTGAGAAAATATTTGATGCTTCATGTTTCAATGGACATACTACTGGTATGTCACTTGCTGTGTTTGTTTGTTGGTTTCAATGAAGACTATTCTCTTGAGCACACAGTGTTGAGGTTGGAGAATCAGGACCCTTTCAAGATTGTTGTTTATAGTCAAAATTTGGTACTAGAGATTCTTGAAGGCAGTGTTATGTTGGGCCTAGCTTTTGCGAAACTTTGGAAGATGTAGAGGTAAAACTGAGAAAATATTTGATGCTTCATGTTATTAGTGCTCAAGAGAATAGTCTTCATTGAAACCAACAAACAAACACAGCAAGTGACATACCAGTAGTATGTCCATTGAAACATGTCACAATGTAAAACCAACAAGTTTTGACCACTCCAAAACTTAAAATTCAAATTCAAAGATCCGAGCGAGCTCCGATGGTGATTTGTGATACAGATCACCCTGCTTCTGATTGGAACATTTGTGTCACATTAAGCCCCATCCGAGCGAGCTCCGACGGTGATCTGTGATACAGATCACCCTGCTTCTGATTGGAACATTTGTGTCACAAGACTCAGACCGTTGGAGAAAGCAAGCAATATTTGAAAACTGTGATATGATCATTGGAGAAAGCAAGCAGTATTTGAAAACTGTGATATTTGTTACGTGGCAATCCGTGTATAGAGCAGGCTGGATTTTTTTTTTGTAAATGGGTTAAATAGCATTACTCCAAAATTAAATATTGAAAATTAAGTTAAATGAAAATTGTAAATTATTATTTTTTTAATTTTATATATTCAACATTTAGGTTCTCGTTTGGATGTAAAATATTTTTTAAAAATTATTATTTTATTTTTATTTTTTGGTGTTTGATTGTCCTTAAATATTTAGGAAGAAAAAAATATATTAAAATTTGACTTTTCAACAAACTATTTTATACTCTTGATGAACTAAATCTCAACCTCAAAACACCAAAATATATTAAAAAAAAAAGAAAATATTTTACATAAAAACAAACTGAGCCACATTGTTGTTGTTGTTGTTGTTTTTTTTTTTTTTTTTAAATCTTCATAATTGCGTAAAATCATTAGAGATGTTCAATGAAACTAGGTTGCTCAAAGACCGAACAACATTTGTATTATTACTTATCGAATACAAAGGAGAAGTGGAGAAGAAAGAAGCAAAATTGAAATATAACTAAATTCATAAATCCAATAATAATTTGTGAAAAAAAATATATGAAGAAAATGAATGCAGTTAAAATTCAAAAAGTGGCCAAATCAATCACCACTGCATGTCTAGTTATGGACTTTTAATTGTAGCTACATTTTATGGATTGTAATTTGATGTAACTTAAGTGGGTTCTATGTTTGGATGAGATGGAGGAACGGGACTTTTGTATGTATGTAACTATTTTGGGAATGTAGTATAATATTTGAATTGTGCGTTGGGACAGGATAAGTTTGATTTAAGGCCCAGTGAGGCCATTACATTTATTTTTGTATTTCTACAGGTTGTTGAGGGACATTTTCTGCGGAAGTCATGTCGAAATTTTTATAGATTTTATTATTATTTTAGTATCTTTTCGAGTCGTTACACATCCCTATACTTCCCCATTTCTATGAGCCTCTTCTTTTCGCCCAAAATATACACACCTTCGTTGAAACAAAAAACCAAATACAAGAAGACCATTTCCCTCTAAGGGAGGAGTTGGTTTATTGAAACAATGATTCCAAATGGAGTAACTATAGTTTCTTTAGCGTAAGGAAGTAAGTGAGGATGACCGTTTAGGAATGAAAAATTTCCTATCGTGAAATCTGCAATTTTGACGCAGTTTTGATGTTTTCCTTGCATACACACTGCTTAATTGCAGTTGTGACAATAGTAGTTGGAGTGTTGTGGTGGGTTGGGCTTGGATGTAATGAGTTATGAGGTTGGGCTTTCCAGTCATTTTTTCTCTTGGGCTTTTGAGTAGGTCATTGGCCTAGCCCTTTGTGGAAAAAATCCTGATACAGTATAATATAATGCTACCGCACCAAATTACAGGAATAAATTTGAAATTGGAAAAAAAATTATTAAAATTTTTGAACTAAATTTCTTCTAATTCTAATTCCAAGGCATCCATTAGGAACTATTAAACATAACATTAGAGTAAAAAACACATGCATTTGTATAAACAGTACCTTCTCAATGACATTGTCTTAGAGATCAAAGGCATCCATTTGCATACGTGGCAATCCATGTATAGAGTCGGTTGTACCTAATTTTTTTTTAAAATGAAAATTGTATATTAATTCTTTTAATATTAATTTAAATTTTATGTATTCAACATTGTAAATATATGTTTTGAGAATTGAAAGTGATGTGTGATCATGTTTCTTTCAATAAGGACGTCAAGGAAGTCAAGGAAATGAAATGACTTTTTTTAACGTACTTTAATTTGCATTTTGTAGGTGATGGTTTTGAAGGTCTAGCTATTCGGTCAATGGTTGGCAATTGAAAAAAGCAGTTCAGCATCAAATAGGTCTGTGTTGGGTTGGCTTGTGATGTTTTTTATGCTTCTCTTTATAAGATTTTGTGGAGCTTGGGCACTAACATATGGTTATTTGGGTTATTGGAACTGTTAAATGCCCAATTTCTTTCTTTTGATTGCATCTTTAGAAATGAACATAAACAACCAAATTTGCTGGGAAACTATTATTGATTCGAATTTCAGTTTCGTAAAACATTCTCATAGGGGTTTATCTATTAAAATTGTTTCAAAATGTTTGTTTTTTTGGATAGAAACTGAAGCACCAGTTGAAGTGTCAAATTATCCATTAAAAGTGTTTTAATATGCTTTTTTGTATTCCTTATTATGCCTATATAAGATTTCAATTGTAATAGACAGAAAAATGGTAATCTGAGCTTGATTTAAGTGATATGAATGTTCTACATTTGCACTTCTAGGTAGGGATGGCAATTTGCCCCGCCCCCGCGGATACCCACCCCGTTATGCCCGTCCTGTTTTTGGCGGTTTTGGGGAACCATTTAGCTTATTTGGTAAAAGATGGTTTGATGTATTGAAATTCCGCACGGGTTTGATGCGAGGACGGAGAGGTCGCTCTGGCCTCGTTTAGATTAAGTACCCTTATTTCAATAGTATATATATTGAGATAGCTAGTTTTGCAACAAAATCTGAAAATCTGGAACAAGTAAATTGCCCGACCATTTATAATGTTTTTAATGTTGAATTTTATGTTAAACTATTTATTGTCCATTTTTTTTTTTTTTAATGAATCTTTTCAATAATTATATAATTTTAGTTGATTAAAAAAATTTAAATGGTGGAGAATTTTTGGTCTTAAACGGGGCGGGGCAGGTACCTGTGGGGGAAAAGATGTTAAACCGGGGCGGAGATGGGGTGGAAAGTTTTTCCCTTTTTGCGGTTTTGGGCGGGGACAGGGATGGTGGTGAAACGCTTGCGGGGATGGGGGAGGACGCACCCGCCTCGTTGCCATCTAAAGTAGGTATTTACTAAAAAAAAACGACAAGTATTAATGAATTGAAAATTAAAATTTTGTTAAAAATTTTGATATTTACAAACATGAAAAAAAAAAAAAAGAAAAAAAAAAAAAGAAAGAGGAAAATGTAATCCCGTGAAACCCGTACGACCCATCCAAAACATTTGGGTTTGGATTATGGACATAATCTATTTTTGAGTAGATTTTGGACTACTCTATGTCAACCCGATTTTGAATTGAGGTTGGGTTGGGATTGGGCCGGCAAACTTGCAGCCCCACCCACCCATCAGCATGAATCCTTTCACCATGGTCAAGTGATGGTTGTTGTAAGGATTGGAGGGAGAAACGGCTTGAAATAGAAAAAATCAGAATGAGATAATCAAAAATCACTTTATTTATATGAAATTAAAATAAAGATAACGGTGATGATAGTTTCTGAAATGATTTGTAGCAAATGATGATACTTGAACTGAAGATGTGATGAATATAAAGTGATCATTATCACAATGAATCCATATCCCAAAATTAATTAACGTCTTCATCCACATTATCTTCACTCAATGCACTCAAAAAAAAAGACACGGCTGCCACGTCATCACAAAACTACTTTCCACGTGTTCATTACGCAATTATGCCAGAATGGGTGTCAACCGTTACTTGAGTGCTGGCACACCTAAACGGACTCTCGGAGTGTTACCTGTCTAAGTTTTGTGGATGAAACCCTTTTTAAACTTGTCCTATATAAGTTTTTTTCCCATGGTAGAAATCAGCAAAATGTTTGATTTTCCAGCCTTAGATGCTATTTGATAAAATTAAAAATTAGATACTGCAAATTAATTTTAAGAATTGAATTTCAAGTGTTGAAAATTTTAAATTATAATTAAGAAATGAAAGACTAAAATCAATAGCAGCGGAAAAAATGGTCTAATCCGGCATACTACCTTACTTATTTCATTTTCTTAACGTTCTCGCCAATTTAAGTGTCGACATGAACCCTATGATTGAGTTACAATCACGCATCATCGTTTCAATCAACAAAACAGTCACATTGCATTGGTCGTGCAGACCATGTAGGACCTAAACCCTGAGATCACACTGTTGTGAGAGAATGAGAGCTTATGTGATGACTTACCATCACCAAAAAATTGTCACGCTGTCAGTTTTTCTTCCACCGAAAGTAATATCTTATCATAGGATATTTAGTGCATGAAGAATAGAATAAAGTTCCAAAACATGGAATCAATCAAAGCACAACTTTCTCTGTAAACCATTTCCTTTCCATCTTTACTCTTCTCTTTCCCACCATTCTCTTTCCCTCATAACAAACACTTCTCAAAACAAAGACAAGTACTTCACAAAAGCAAAAATGAGCTGCTGTTTTAGTCAAAAAAAATCCAATACTCTTTCCCCTACCAGGAACTCATCTTCTGAAGAATCTGAATCATCAACACAAGAATTAAAAAATGTAGAGCATGAAGTTTTGTTGTGCATACCAGGATGCGTAGTTCATCTGATGGAGGAGGGAGAGGCAGTGGAACTCGCCAATGGCGATTTCACGCTTCTTCGCGTATCTGATGAAAATATTCCTCTTGCTACTATTGCTAAAGTTGGAGATGAAGTTCAGTGGCCGTTGACAAAAGATGAGCCTGTGGTGAAGCTTGATGCTCTGCACTATCTGTTTTCACTGCCGATAAAAGATGGTGACCCTCTGAGCTATGGAGTGTCCTTCTCGGAACAGTATGGTGGCAGTTTGGGCTCGTTGGATTCAATCCTGCAAGAAAATTCGTGCTTTTCTAGCTCATCATCATCAACTCAGAATAAGAATTTGAATTGGAAGGAGTTCGCGCCAAGGATCGAAGATTATAACAATGTTTTGGCTAGAGCGATTGCAGGAGGGACTGGTCAGATTGTTAAGGGGATCTTCAAATGTAGCAATGGTTACACCAACCAGGTCTGTGTGTTTTCTGCTGCAAAAACAGAATATAAACTGATGCTTTTCGATACTAACATGCTGAAAATTGGAAACAATAAAAACTGTATAATGATTTTTATGTTGCAGGATAGTTTTTTTATATATATAAAAAAAAAACAAACGCTAAATCAAACGAAATTTGTGCTAATTTTACTTCTTTAATTAGTATTTGCAGTTTAACCAAGACCAAACAAGTTAAATTCAAAAACAATTTGGGAACCTAATACTATAGCTCAATTTCTTGTAGTTGATAGGATATGATAAAATTAGATCTTCTATCAAATACAGATTTAGTTCGTGTGTTGTTATTACCACATGGGGTCTTCAAAAAAATCTTCCTCTTTACTAGATGATGAAAATTTTATAATGTTAGATGTCATAATTTACATTGTAATTTTTTTTTTCAAAAGATAGTTTACACTGTAATTGTTACTCAAATGGTACTAAAAAGTGGAGGAAATACAGGTGCAAAAAGGAGGGGAAATGATTCTAACTCAAACAGTAGAGGAGAAAAATGGTGTCTGGGCAAAGGAAAGTAAGAGCAACAAAAGAACTGGTTCAACAAAGAACAGCAACAAAGTCAATAAAAGCATAAAGCGGTATGTCAAAAATTTCGTGTTTTCATTAGTAAGTATATTGTAGCTTCTTATACTATACTCTTGGAATATATCATATAGTGTGAGAAAGCTGACGAGGATGACAGAAAAGATGAGTAAAGCCATGCTCAATGGTGTTGGGATAGCCACCGGATCAGTGATCAAACCTGTGGTTCGATCCCAAGCAGGGAAGGCATTCCTTTCCATGGTTCCGGGACAGGTCGTCTTGGCATCACTTGATGCTGTCAGTAAGTAAAGCATGATTCTATGCATCCTTTTGGAAAATTTTATACCAAAACGCTTCATAATTTCCATTTCGTTTTTCAAAGAAGAGGATACGAGTTCACCACATTCTTCGTCTTGATACTACAGACAAGGTTTTCGACGCCGCTGAAGTAGCAGAAAAACAAGCCCTCTCCGCCACATCTGGTGCTGCTAAGAGAATGGTATCCAAAAGGTAATTAAAGTCCCTAAATGTATGCTGATTTTGCCTTCATTCAATTCCTAACAATGTCAAAATTTAAAAGTAAATCATCTACTATTCTTATTAAAGCTATTGATCAACATTATTACCAAAATCATTGCTCAGTTTTGTTGCCATTTGTCTTCTTTGCTTCTTCTCCAATTCTTCTTCCTATGCATTGAATTGTTTCCAATTTTCCACTGCCAATTACAATGAATTCTCTTGTTCATTAGCTAAAACAATTAATTCCCTTGTATGATTTCAATCTTTTGTCTAAAACTAATTTTTCGTCCTATGGTGATTCTTCAATCTCTAATTTATGCGCTATACATGAGCCACAGGTTCGGGGATAGTGCAGGGGAGGCAACAGAAGACGTGCTTGCCACTGCGGGGCATTGTGCTGGCATTGCTTGGAATGTCTTGAAGATACGAAAGGCCATCAATCCTGCCTCATCGGTCTCCGCAGGCGTGTTGAATACGGCTAAAAGTGTAAAATCTAAAAGTAAAAAATCTTAAGAGGCCCGGGAGGCTGGAGTGCATTTTGTGCGTCAGAAATCGGACAACATGGAACAATGCCCCTATGTTTAACTGTTTTGAGCATTTCTTTTCTATCAAGTGGCAAATGTATGAAACTATTAGTTACAATATATAGCCATCAGACACTTCTGGGGTATTTGGAAAATACTATGGAATTTGAATCATTTTATTTTATGATTTCAGAAATGTTATTTTAGTTACATGGAATTGGAATTAGAGAAAATTTAGTTTAAATTGATATTCTTCGCTTTCAAAGAAGCATATGTATATAAATGAAATAATCACACGGCTCATTGCATTAGCCATCCTGAACACAATTGGCTAGAGGCCGTTAATGTCATAAAATTATTTTTTTTCCCTATGCAATGCACCTATATTGGATTGCAGTTTGGGGTTGTGTTCATGCTTGATGTTAGGATTTGTCTCATATCGAATTCAGATGGAGAAATAAATGGATATATATAAACTGGGTGATAGTTCAACTTAACCGCTTAAACTTTTGAGTCGGCCCGCAAAGCTCCCGAAATTTGCATTCTTGTGCAAGTAAGCAACTAAATAAGATAAAATAAGCCCCCTATTTGAATTTTGGACTAATTAACCTGGGGGTGGGATGTCATGGGTGACATTTTTTCAAACTTGATATGGACATGATTTTTCAGCATTAAACGAAAGAAAATAATTTTAGAGCTGAATGATTGTGATATGTTCGATGCATTTATGTCGATCTCAAAAAAATGCATCTGACGATGTAAGTCCACACAATGTTTTACCTACTTTATTTTGAAGTGACTTAATTATAAAAGCAATATTTTAAAATAAAACTAAGGGATAATATCACTTACCTCTCTTAAGTTTAGACTTAATTACAGGCTGTATCTTTATGGTTTTCAATATTACACCGACAATATGACCGGAGTTAGGTTTTGTGAGAAATTCATATAAAAGTACAAAAATATCCTTTATTATTATATTAATATAGCAAGTTGTCAAATTTACCACAATACCAGACTTTTTACAGTGCACTACCATCACCAACAAACACCTTAAACTGTTTCAACCCTAACCCTCTTCCGTTTCTCTCACCTCAAAACCACCTTGCCTCCGTTGTTACCACTGTCTCAATATTAAACCCGTCATAGCCGCGCCCATTTTACACCCACCCGCCCCGCCTTTTGAAACCGTTTTGGACCAAGAGAGAAAACACCTCAAGACCAACTAACTTCTCAATTGGACGATGTGGAATCGATTTGTAGCAGCGGCAACAATCTGCCCCGTTGCGGTGATTTGAGGCAGCGCGACTATGGGGCTCCATGGATTCCGACGACCATGGTGTCCATCGATTCCGGCAGCGATATGCCGTGTGTTTGTGGAGGAACGACAGGATCGATTGCACCGGCAATTTGTAGCGGTGAGGTTAGAAGATTGGTTTTGTGTGCTGTAGCTGGTCACCAGAACTGCTGTTAGTGATCTCGCCGGGTACTGGAGAACTCTAGAATATCAATTGAACTGAAGCACACCGGTTTGTTTGCTAAAGCTCGACGTCGGTTTGGTCACTGTGGATTTCCGGTTTGAATGGTCTCTCCATGACCTTGAAGCTCTGTGCCAATTGGGTCCTCAAAATTATTTAGCAATCTCACTGAAGCTTGCTCTTTGCCGGTTGGGTCGCTGAAGCTGTTTGGTTTGTTGGGTCACTGAAACTCACCGGAACAGTGTATGTGCAGCTCTGTACTTTAGCCGCATTTTAGGGTCCTTCAATCCGGCAACAATGGAGTAATCAGTTGGGTCTTGAAGCAAGCTCACTAGAATTGTATATATCGGAAATGGGTTCATCTGTTCTTCTCATATTCTGTGCAAAGCCCAAAGACCGGAAGGATCTTTATGATGGAGCAATGTGACGAAGCTTTCAATTGGGTCTGGTGGCGGCAAAAACAAAGAAATCAAGGCAAAAAATTCTCAAAAACTCCGGTGAAACCAGGTTTGGCTTGGGGTTGTTTCTGGGCATAGTTAGATAGTGAAACCTAGGAGAGAGAACCAAAAGTAATGCAGAGGATCGGGTTCCATTACAGAGAGACTAGAGAGAAAATAAAGTGTGATTGAGGGGTATATGAATAATTTTTAATTCAAAAGTATGGGTGAAAATGTCTTTGCAACTATAAGAAGGGCAAATGTGACATTTCATTCTTAAAATTGGATGACGTCATCAAAAAAGTTATTAACCGGCGTTAATTTTGGACCGGGCGAAGTATTATGACAGAGCTAATCTTGAGGGAATGTAATTTTTAAAACTTTAAAGATATTGTTTGTAATAAGAGCTAATCTCGAAGAAAGTAAGTGATATTTTTCCTAAAACTAATTATATTCTTTCTAACAGCTTTTAAGAGGTTGATTGGTTCTAAGCATGAACATAAAATAGAATTGTATGGTCCACACCATTCTTGAAGTTGTAGGATGGAAAAGAGAGGAGATATTTTCCATCCTACAAGTTGTGGCGTGTCAACCAAAGCTTCCTCAGCATCTTTTTCTTGCAAAGTCACAACTTGTAGGATGGAAAAGAGAGGGAGATATTTTCCTATATACAATGACAGCTGAATTTGGTGAAAACACATAAATGTCTACTTTAATTTTGTCAAATTGGTGTGAACGCACATAAATGTCTACTTTGATTTTGTCTTTTAAAAAAAATATATGTTTGGCCTTGTAGACTGCATTTATTGGTGGTCCTACCTATACCGTTCAACTTTAATTATGATAAGGCTACAAAACAACCAAAGAGTCATGTCGGCTCGCACGACCTTTTTTTGTTTTTGGGTAAGTGAAATTGATTTTTTTTTTGAAGGAGTTATGACAGAAAACAGACTCCTTTAAAGTTGAAATTAATTAATAAACTTATTTAACTTTCAACAATATTAATGTATTGGATAGTAAACTTTGGTTGACTCGCTAAATAAGAAGAATAGAGCGAGTCTTATCATTTAATCAAATAGGTAATTGTCCAACCGGTACAAACCCAATTCAAAAAAGTTTGAAGGTTCGTATGTGTGAGTTTACTTAACTAAACCTCCTAAAAAAAATTTGAATATCATTGTCAAAATTATATGCTAATCCGTAAATTAATCAAATATTGCATACGACCAGTTTAACCCCTACTTCAAAAGTAGTAATCAAGTAAAAGACAGAGCCGTGAAAATTACAATATGAACTGTCACAAACTTATCTTAAATTAATTTATAAAACCAAAGTACGTACCCAAGTCCCAACATGCATTTATGCTTGTTTGAATGCTTGTTTGATCAGCTAGCGACAATCAACCTACCTAGAGAGAGAAACCGCCGAGGAAATATTCCGGTCACCGGAGACATTGAAGCGGCAGAGAGGACAGGAGGTGGGGAGAGAGACCCAGTTGGCAATACAAGTTGGATGGAAGAGATGGCCACATGGGACTTGTTTACCTGATTCAAACCCTTCCATGCAGATTGTACAAACTCCAGGTGCACTAACCGTAGGCATATCATGAGATGGTAAGGAGTTTGACTTTGGGACTTTGATCTTCTCATGATGAATACTTGAATTGTCCTCCATTGTCAAAGCTATGTCTAGATCAAACATTTCATCAATCGGAGAGTTCGTTGTGGCCTTAGATTCTTCTGGGGATACAGAAGCCATGTTTGTGCTTGTAGCCTTGTGTATATACAGAGAGAGAGAGAGAGAGAAGAAAGAGAGAGAGAGTTTTGTTGCCAAAATAGTTCCAGGGTGTGGGGCCTATAGGAGCAGATTGGAGATTGGTTATGTACGTAAATGCCCCTCTAGTTGGATTTATTAGACGGCGGGATGTGACCTTTGAGATTGTCGGTTCCAAGAAAAGAAATTTATTCATGCAAGTTAAATAGGTAACGGATAAAATAAAACAACTTAGGATCGAAAAATATATATATATATATATTAGACCATTTTTATAAAACTTTCTACTAGTGCTACCATTACCGACAATCAATGACTGGATTTCACGTGATATTGTGGTCCGAATTTAATGTTGGGTCAACTCATTGGATGAGTTTTGTATGGGTACAATTTTTGATCTGTTTTTTTGTATATAGGTTGTGAATCTTAATTAGTCTCTTGTAATCCGATATATAAGGACGCTTAGGAGGATTTGGAATAATTTATAATTTTTAATTTTACACATTGAAAGCTTTTGCTGAATCTTAACCGTAAACATAAACTATTACCGAATCACGTATAAATCTTTATGTTATTTACATGACGTGTTTACTTTTCTATCGTAATTTTTAATTCAACTTGAGTTCGTTGTGTTTCATGACAAGAGGTAATTTAGAATTGAACAAAAATTTGATAATTTATTTTATAATAGTAGTGATAGTGACAAGTCACAATGAAATAGATGTTAATGCATTAGGTGAGAGAAATTGAATTCACAATAAAACTGTCTTGATAAACAAACTCTATATAATAATTAAATTTTAAAAATGGTTTTATATTTGGCTGACAATTGGTGGATTTTAAAAACGAGACAAGCACAGAATATTTGACGTCATAAAATGTACCGACTCCAATGGTTAAATGAAAAGGCAAAAAAAGCACAACTTGTTAAATACAAATGCGCGCGTGTATCATATTTCCTATTACATTCCCGCTGAGTCGTCACCAAAGTTTAGGTAAGAAACATGTTGTTCTAAGAATTTAATTATGCAATTGTCACCCTGAGACCACAAACAAATTTGTAACCCTAATAAAGTGAAAACATTTTCTATCAATTCAGATTTAATACTCACCTTTACATTTGAATAACTGGATAAATGAAATTCTACATGTCCAAAATGAAAACAATTGTGGCTGTGGGCAAAATCATATTCACTGACAACATCAAATCTTGTGTCCGCTACATTTAGCTCTCCGGCATTTTCAATTGTCAAAACCATACCAAGTATTGCCACCAAAAAAAGAAAAAGAAAAAAAAGGTGATTAGAGATCTGTTATCAAACAGTGTTGAATTGTCGGGGTTTCTTCAGCTCCTTCAACGGATTCACCAAAGAGCTGCATCTCTTCATTCATCAGAAAAAGTCATAACACACAGACAATGATACTATCAATATACTCAAAAGAAAAGGATTAAATTTCCTTTTCTTCATCCACTACTATAATGTGCTGAGATATACATCGTTGCCGCTGCTACATATTATAACTGTTGTGGTTGCCATCGGCCGCAATCCACCACTAAGGAGAAATCTGTGAATGGCCTGGAGCAGCTGTAATATCATGGCAAGGTCCGGTTGGCAAGTCCCATAGATGCTGCAACTTCTCTAGAGGCAAAATCATCAGCTTGCTCCTATTCATTGCACAAACACATGGTCAGCAAAATGTAAAAAGTGGATATTAATGCCTCTAGGTTACAGTAGTAATAACAACAATAAAAATAAACTGTGCGCGCGCACGTACAAGTTACAGAGTAGACTCATTTCCATCACAGCTTTTTCTTAATTATCTACTACATTCCTTCTTAATGATCTAACTCCTACCACAACTGAGCAGATAGCCAGATATCCATACCTGAAGGCGATGCAACAGATACATCAAGAAGAGATGGACAAATACCTGCCAGATAATTTCTCATGGTTATAATGCAATTAAAAGTCTTTGGTTTAAAATTTCACACGAACATTTTCAAAAAGATAATCCTAACAATTAGATTTTTAATGATTGATCAATTGTTCTCACCAGGTAGAAAAGCAGAAGAACTCGAGCAATAGGATACCGCCAGAGAAATCTTGTGGCCCTGACAGCCCCAGAATCCAAAAGCTTTGCTGCCTTCTGCAACTGCATTAGCCAAGTTCGAATACATAATCAGAATAGAAGAAATGGAGGGCAACAACAGAGTGAACTAGGAAAGCAGAGATACCTGTATGCTTGCTCCAACCATATGGCGATGATACAAGGGGAGAGACCTGCAATTGCTGCTTCATGAGAAATAAATGAAATATTGGATATCTAATGTCACCCTTGATGATGGACCCAAAATTAGATTATTTGGTGCTATGCATACAAAGAAACGAGTGTTCATGTATGACATTAAATCTGCTTCTCAAAATGACTCCTCTTTTCACTTATTTAGCAACCAAAAGGAGATCCGCATATAATAATATTAATGGAAGTTCATGAAATAATTTTAGGACATTATAACACCATGTTGGCCTAAGATCAATTTATTACCCACACTTTTATCAGAAACTACAGTTAATTAATTCAATAGAAACTACTGACTCCAACTTATACCTTTGAACCTGTTCCCAAGTGGACTCTTACAGCAGCATCCGCATTACTTTTACAACTTAGCTATTCCGTTCTAACATCTTTTTTTATTCTTATTCTTTTTCTTTTTCTTTTTATTTTTTTCCTTGGCAAATAACCCCCAGACCTCTTGGGAGACTTGAACCCTCCACTTTTTGTTTCAAAAGGAGAGGAGATACCACTAGGCCACATGCATTGGTGGTTTCTAGCATCTTTAATTCAGTGACTCAAATTCTATATTTATATACTTCAATAAGATAAAAATTCTCCTTGAACCCCTCATTTATCCGTAGCTTGTATGAACCACAGGCTGAAATGAATTCATTACCCTAACTGCCTGATAATGTAAATTTAAATTATAAGGAAGGCAGCGCTCAAGTGATTTAGAAAACAAGGAACTATTGACAATCTATGTTGGCCAACACTTCTGCAACTTCAACTTACTGAACTAGCATGGGTTTTTCAGTTGTATTTTTGGGGGATTATCAAAGATTTCCTTGTGCATGCCATATGTTTCTCTATGTTTCAGTGATACAATCAAATCTTGGTTTCTCAGAATATTTAATGAAGTTCAACCATTTTAAAAGACCTAGATATGTGCAAAAGTTCTTCTTCTGAGAGTCCAAGAGAGCTTTCTGATGTGAAGTGTGAACACGTAGAAGCTCCAACGCTTCTCTTGATGGCACATCAGATACAACTCCAAGTTTTTTTCCCCCTTCACTTTGCTTTTTTCTTTTTCATAAGCAACATTCCAAAACCTTGACGTTATACAACAACTCACTCAGGCTGTTTCAAGTCAAATGTCATCTTAAGAAACTAAAAAATTAACTGTGCCTCAACATGCTAGAAGATATGCCGAAAATATCAAAGGAAGCATATGAAAATTCCTAATTTAAATAGAAAGAAAAAAAAAGAATATATACTCGAGGGATTTTATGTCAGTGTCTTCTTCCCAAGATGATGATGATGCACGACGAGAAACTCTGCTTCTTTCTGCTTCTACCTATTAAATTAAACAGTACTGAGAATTATTATTATTATTATTATTGGTAAGTGTAGTACTAAGATAATTTAGATTATAAGACACATAAGAAGAAGGAACTCTTTTGTAAAGATGAATGACATTAACAAATATGCAGAGAACAACTAAGACCATACCTGTGCTTCTTGAAGACGTTTTATCTCTTTCTCCACTTGAAACTCTGCAGCAGCTTTTTCACTAGCCATGGTTTCCAGTTGCGTTTGCTTATAATACTGAATTATATATGTTACACATATCATAAGTCACTATATGTTACTGCTTAACAATATGACCAAATCGGCGCTAACAAATTTTGAGTTTAACATACCAATAGATCAGTTAGTTCACGGTACCGTTGTTCTAGCTCCATATGTTCCTGTTCATCATCAGGAGAGGAGATGAAAAACACAAAGCAGAAACCAAGTGAATAAATTCAATTAAACTCGTGTAGTAACCTCTAAAATGATAGTGATAATGAACAGTAATGATTATTTTGGTACGAACAGAAGATGACACACAACGGTAAATGCCATACAAGAAACAAGATCATTTTCACAATCCATAAATCAATACAGGTCAAAAAGATAAATTCAGAAAACAGAAAGATGAATAATTCTTTGTTATATATGCAATTTACTCAATTGCTTTTCCAATTCACAATCATAATGATGTCTGTTGCTTTAGGATGTAGAATAGTTTGTTTCTACTGCCAAATCATCTATTACATAATTCCTATATTCTGAAAATCTTAATAAGGATAAGTTAAGCTGCATAATCTGAGCTCCTGTAGGAGCATGTCAGCAACAGATTATTGTTGCCTAATAACATTTGTGAGACACTTTGCTCTATGGAGTCAAGTGTACATTAAGTTCAAAATCAGTGGTAAAATAGGTTAAGACTAACAATTCTTGAGTTATATCGTATGCCTGTAACCCTAAGCTGATTTTGTTACGCAGAAAGAAGACCTATGATTGCATGCAAGAGACAGCTGAAGGCACTACAGGGACAAAAGAAAGGCCAAAAGAAAAAATTGATCAAGGCTGTAAGAAAGATATAGTGCCTTGTGCCTTGTGACTTGATGATTGATATGGCCCTACAGAGTGCAGAATTCCCAACAAGGGCTTTCTATAGTTCCCTGTTTCTCACTCCCACCAGTTAAGGCGTTGTTTAGTCGATTCTTTCTTCATACAGAATTTCCACACATCAAACTTTAACATGCACTGAAATAAACCGTAGCAAGCATGTAGTGCATGTATAAACATTATACAGAACACCTTAAAGGAGTTTAGCACCCTTAATATATGAAACGTAGCAATGACCAGAACAGAAGATACCACCAGATAATAATAATAATAATAATGAAAAAAAAAACAAAGAAAGAAAGGATAAGGCAGATGCTACTAACCTGGCGTGAATAATGCTCAGCATCTCTCTTCATGGCAGCCATTTCAACTCTCATTTTTTGAACTTCAGCCTACATAATAGATAATAGCAACTGATACTTAAATAGGTATTGACAAATTTTTCACAACATTACAGATATTTTCTTGACATTGAAACTTTGGGATCAATATCTCATTAAATTCTCTAGAATGATAACATTTCGACTCAACTCTTAGTAAACTACAAATACATGGAGGCAAATGCAAAAGAACCTTGCCTCCAAAGAAGAAAGCTTGCTCTCGGCATCTCTCTGACCTTGGCGTGCACGCTCCACTTCTTCCTGCCATGCCTGCATCTTAATATTCAGAAGCAATTAAACGAATATTAGGATGATTGAGAGTGATTTAGTATTACTCTAACTGCTAGAGGACTGAATTATTGTTGTACATATGTAAATACCCTATTTTATACCTACTTTTTGAGAATCCTTAAACTATTAAAAAACTAGCTTCAAGGTATCAAGCTCAGAGGGAAAAAAGTGGAGGATATACAAAAACAGGGAGAATGATCTATTTATTGTTAGAGACAAATTTTCTAGACAAAAAAAATAAATAAATAAATAAATATTAGGCAGGTAGAAACTCATAAAGTTGAGGGTAGGACCTTAAGAAAAAGCGAGCCTTCTAATTATGTTATCTTTTTCTAAAAAGAGGCTACTTTGCCTGCTCTTTATGGGGGTCACTTTACCATCTCTAAATGTTTGCAAGGGAGGGGTGAGGAAGGTAGTCATTCTGCTTACTCGTCTTCTTTATGCTTTCTGTCGTTTCAGTAATTAGCTTTGTTCTGTGAACTTCGAGGGATTCCTCATCCGTCCTCTTTGCATAATGCACTTTCTTCTAATGAGGTTTTTGGTTTTGGGTTTATTATCGAGAGAGAGAGAGAGATCCTTTCAGCTTTTCTCTTAATGGGTCTTCAAAACTATAGATTTTTTTTGTTAAAAATCCAATGTAACCTGTAGTTTGATTATATCTTAAATATGTGTACATATTTAGTAAAAATGCAAGTATTTGTATGTGGAAGATTGAATTTATAGGTAAAATAAACCAATTATATCCTTAGAAACTCATTTGGTATTTGTTAAAATAGAGGCATGTTGTCTGGGTTATAATATCCACCTGAATCACTTGATTTGCCTCGTCGGGAGACTTCTTTTGTACACGGCGAGCACGAGCTTCCATATCTTGTAGTTCTTGATTTAATGATGCACATTCAACCTGATGGCATATAATGACTTCTGTAACCAGAATGGTAAATAAACCTCCATATGGAAGAAAAAGACAATATTATAATCTACCTCAAGCAAGGCCACCTTCTGCTCAAGCTCTGTTGCCTTTGCAGTCCTCTCATCTGCTGTTCTCTAAACAAGGAAGCAAATGACAGAATTTAATGAAGATGAGAGAGATAAAAGTTACTGGAGAGAAAAAGAAAATATATTAGATGCACTAACAGAAAATCATTTCCTACAGAGTCTAAGCAACATGTTAACTCTATAGAAGTGTTAACACTAGGACGTATAAGTTATGGTAATCATACAATCCTTATGGATTCAGGACACTGAAATGTCCATAAAGAATTTGTGCCAATTTTCACACAGTAGCTCAAATTCAATAAGCATGCATTTACACACGGAAGCCTGCTATCTGATTCAAATCATGCTAGACAGCCCAAGCTTTAGCATGAGAATAACAAACCACACTAGGGAATAGCATTTTCACACATTCAAAACGTTTATTCAAGTTTCAAGAAAAATAGAGACTAAATTATGACATTTATTTTCTATGGTGTGATTATCATGTAATATTTTAGAAACAAGCCAAAAGATCAGAGGTCCTTAGAATACCTGGGTCCTGGCTAGGGCTGTGGATGCCTCAATAGCCCGCTGTTCCAATTCTACTTCCCTTTCCATAGTAGCCTGTTTATTCAGATGATTTATCACAGACAAGATGACACAACAACAAAACCAAACCAGAAAAGCAAACTAAGAAAGATAAAATGAAAAAGAATCAGAAATTAATTTTGTAGATACAAACCATCTTGGTAGCATTGTGTGCAGCACGCTCTTCTTCCGCTCTCCGTTCTGCAGAAGCCAGCTCCTCCCGCAGAGCCTGAGACAGGAAAGTTATATTATCAATTTTAAAAATTTATAAAATATAGTAAAGTTAGCTGCAAGGATATGCCAAGAGTCCAAATAAGTGGTTCCATGCATAAAAAGTGAACTTACTTGCATCATCCTCGTCTCTGTCAGTTCCCTGTGTCTCATCATAGACTCCATGTTTGCCTGAAGCGAAGTGACGGATAGATTAGGAGAGCCTCAATATTTGATGAATCTAAGTTAAATGCAAGAAAAGACTGATAGGGAAACTTGTATGAGTAAATTAACACGTGACCATACTGAAAGTAAAACAAAAGAAAGTGCTCCAAGATAGTTTGTTTCATTAGCCCAAAGCCCCCACCCCCACCACAAACAAACAAACAAAAAAAGATTTAAGTTTTGTCGTAATGACAGGCACCATCATCAAACTCTGCATAAAATTTAAGTCGGCATCCATCAATTCATACAGTTTGTAAATTTGAAGCCTCTGAAGCCTCCAATGAACTGTAAATCTTCTACTTGTGTTGCTACTTAAATTTAGACCAATAATTAAAACATGATTACAGCTATCCTGGACAGATTCCCAGTTTTTATATGGTTATTCTTAATATTCAACTTATCCTAAATTCTCAATCACAAAATACCAAACAAAAGCCAATTTCATTAGGTTTGAAGTATGAGACTCAAAAAGGGGTAGTATAGATAGAATGCTTTAATTTTGTACATCTATATCAGCATAATTGTCAGTATCTTGCAGTAGACACCATGATACATACAATGCTAGTTGTACATACACATTCCATTTACATGTATAGTACCTTGTCATTTTGCCAATTTATGAAATGGCAATAGCTCAGGAAAGATTTCTATCCTCTGTATCATAAGGCATGGTTCCAAAAATATAAATCTCAATCCAGGCCATTCAAAGATTTATGAGGGTTTCAGTGGTTTATTAAAATCGCTTGCAAATTGCGATCTCTTTTTTTTCCACAAAAGGAATCTCTTCCAATCTCGACACCTATGTTCAGTGGCGGAGCCAGAAATTTAAGGTTGGGGGGGCCGGGTTTGTACTATGTAATTAAAGTTAGAAATTTTTATACATCAATTGTAAATATTCTTACGTTTGAGCTTTTCAAAATATAGTTAAAAGAGTCCAAGTTGAAAAATTACTAAATTTCAAGGAGACAAACGAAATTTACTTTCAAAATTTTTATTTTGGGTCAATATGTAAGTGTTTTGAAAAAATGTGGGGTTGGGGGGGGGGGGGGGGGGGGGGGTGGGGGGGGGGGTTGAAATTTGTAATGAATTTTAGGGGCAATACATACCAAGTAATTCATATTTGAGGTATAAATAAAGTTTTCAGAAAAGTTTTTTTTTTTTTGGGGAGCGCCGGGGGGGGGGGGGGGGGGGGGTGGTGTTGGCGGGGTGGATGGCCCCTGCTGGCCCACCCCTGGCTCCGCCCCTGCCTATGTTCAACTCAACAAGTCTGTTCCAAACTGTTTGGGGTTGGCTACAATGAATTGTGTTTAGCTTTTTCGCTCTATCTAGGGCCATAACCTCAATCAAAAAACTTGTCATATTGTTCCTAACTATTGGCCTTCTCCTTCTCTTAGCATTACACTAAATTACGACCAAATCATCATTCAAATTCGATGCAGTTATTGACACTCGCTGAACACGGCCAAAACCACCTTAATCAACTCTCACTTGTTTTATCTCAAAACAGCATTACTTCAAACATGTCACGAGTGTGTAAGTTTCTGATCTTATCCTCTCTTTTTTTCTTGCCATCAGTTTGAAATATAAGCTGTTACGGGGTTACTCGACCAAGCCAAAACGGATACAGCCAAAGTGAATCCCGTTACAAACTAACATGAAAATCACTAAGGAGTCAGCTGGAGGCTAAAAGCAACGTAAGTCAACTCTTGAGGGACTTGGCAGAGTTGGCGCTATAATGGCTGAGTCAACCCTTTTAAGCTGGCACACTCAATTCAGCCCCTTTTTTTCTCATTCTCTCTCTTCCTCTAACAGCCCTCTCTCGTTAAATCTAGGACCAAACCACAACTTTCAACTAATTTATTGATTTTTATTTTTTGGGTTTTCTTTTTTAAACTTAAATCTACACGAAAGTGTTAATTGATTATTTATAAATTTCATTTATTTTGTGTTGATGACTCCTTTGACTCATTAATTTAGTAAAAAGCATAGATTACTAAGACTCTAATACCAACCTTGACTTAAAATTCATGCATAGATCATTAATTGTATTAAATTATCTTTAATTTTTTTAACAAAAATCACAAAAGTTCATTTAAGATGCAATAATACATATTCATTGGATTCTGTAGTAAAAAATGATATGTATCAATACATCTTCTGCCTTATGTAAGCATTTGAATATATATATATATATATATATATATATATATATAATATGTTAACCGCAGCGACCAATTCAGTTATATTTGCTTGACACAAGCCCATGTTTGTTACAGTGCATCAACGTCTAGCAACCATGCTTGTCACACATCCATCTTTGAATACTCCATTTATTATTTTATACATATACTAAAATATTTTGCACCACTTGTCAAGCATCCTTTTAGTTACTATGATCATATTGATCAATTTTGTGAGCCAAGACAAGTCATCATCACCTAAACACCTCCAAGCCTCAATAGAATATCATCAGGTCCTAAAGCTTTCCTGTCTTCATCTTAACACAGTTTTTACCTCATGTGCCTTTCCTCTATATTTTTTATCCAACAAGTTCTCAAAATAAGATCTTTACAACAAATAAATGGCATCAAAACCAGCAATTTGTGCAATACCTGATAAAGTTTGCATAGAAAATACACCAAGAAGTCAAAATATTTTCTCCTAATCAGGGAAATCTGAAAGTGGGGTAGTGCTCTAACAGTAACGAAAAAGAATGCATACTGTATAAGACGAGATAAAACTAAAAAGTAGAATGTCATTTAACATATTATGTTGTCAATAAGGTGACATACTTAAACTAAATAAAACCAACACATGATCTGTTGCAGACTAATGCAGATAATATTAATGATGCAGGCAGTGCAGTGTGAACAGGTCATGTAGAAAAAGTTACTTGGTGTGAAAGACTGCACTACAGGAATAGAAAGAACATGCATTGATGACTGAACTAGGGCATTAATAAACCTGCATTGATGCTAGACTTCCTTCAGATAAAGCAGCCTGTTTCTTCAGTGCATCCATAGAACTGACGAGTGCCTCAATTTCAGAGTTTTTTGCAGCCAAAGCCTCAGCCATATTTGACTCCACTCTTACCATTTCACTTTTGGATGCAGATAAATCTTCCCTCAGCTTCTTTATGCGAGCCTCAAGTGATGTACTCCGCTCTTTCTGGTATATGAAATTAACAAGTGAAATAACATTTCTTCATCAGTACACCTGATACAAGTGTTTTTAGTCTCACCTCTGCAACAAGAAGCTCCTCTAACTGTGCATTTTCAGATTTGACTTCTTGTAGACGGGATGAAAGTCCAGCACAAACCTGAATATCATTAACATAAAGCTCAATAAAGCATCCAAAACGCAGAAAAACTGAATCTTATTTCAAAGGGGGGGAAAAAAAAAACTGAACTCATCTTTCAGACTTTTAAATGACATGGAACTACGGACTAATAAATATTATGTTGTTTATGTTGTTGAACAGGCAAAAAGTTTATATCAAATATTTTCAGAAAAAAAAAAAACGAAGTTTAAGCTCTTTTATCGAGAAAGAAACTAGGACAAAGAAAAGAAAACTTAATCTTGTCAAGGAGGGGCAACAAGAGAATTATGCATATACACAAGCACAAATTAATTAGTCTGCTAATCCGATGGTTACCATACCCTAGCAAACCTTGTATTAAAAGTCACATTCCCAAACATGGAACACTCATTCCAAAATACTAAATTTAGCTCCGAAAAAATTCTTATTTCTCCCTTGCTCCCTTGCTTTTCTTTTAAAGGGAGAATAATAAAAAATGACCAGATATCATATGTTTTGGCTACTATATTTTCATTACTAATTCTAACTTTTTATCTCTAGGTTAGTTCAGTGATTTTACAAGTTTTATCCAAATCTCATATGTTTCTGCTAATATATTTTCAGCACTAATTCTAATTTTTTATCTCTAGGTTAGAACAAAAACACTCTCATGACTAAATCACTCTATTACATTCCTACTATCTCACTGGATGAGTCCACACCCAATTGTAACACATTTATGGTACGTGCTCTCATGACTAAATCACTCTTATCACATTCCAACAATCTCACTAGTAAGTCCACACCCAGTTGTAACAAATTAATGGTACGTGGTGTACCCTGTTCCCCTTTGCATTCCGCATACAATCCACAAACTGCATTCGAGGTAAAATTGGCAATACCATTCTTGCACACATACTCGCACAAAAGAAACCAGGAATGTTAAAAATGATTATTCTCATGACAAAAAATAATGCCATGGGCTTTAAAATTAGTGAGGTGCTCATGCCGGTGGCATTGAGCCTGACATCCATATGAACTCTCATGAAAACATTTTACGTGAATAATACACAGTGGGTAACAGAAAATCATAACATAATTAAGCACAAATGTTTATACTGCTATATAATTACTATTCCATTTAAATTATTTATTAGTTTAGATGTAACACCAGAAATTGATTTTGACATACCTCATGGTACCCTTAACAATGCAACACATATTATAGCCTAGGTAACTAAATGTAACAAGGTAGGTGGTAGTTTAGTTGAAATATTGTTGATCGGTCAGAAAGAAGACAAGTACTTGGGTCTGACAATTCAGTTGATGTTTACAAGGCTTTTATCAAGGTCAGGAATGCTGAAAAAACAAAAACTGCAACTTCCTAACACCAAAAATCCTTCAATAGGAAGATATTTGCAGGAAAAACTTCTGAGGGAAAAGAATCAAAAGACATGATGGGGTCAGGACCGGAACTCTAGGCTCTGATAGAGGGTTAGAGCAAGGTTGAGATCTAGACCTAGAGGAAGCTGAACAGACCCATTGGTGGTACATTTAATGTAACACTAGCATAAAGTGCCAATCAATCCATCGTGCTATTCATAACAATCATTCAATCAAAAGGAAATTAAAGAAAAATAAGCTGGCACAATCGATACCAAGATTTTTACGTGAAAAACTAAATGAAAAAACCACTGAACCTAATCCAGTCAGGTCAAAAATCCAGTATTAGAAAGATATTTCCACATTAGTTTAAAGTTCGCATCCCCTAGAACTCCTAGTTAACTATTGGCAGACTGATCCACCAAACTCAAGCACAAAATTTCCAGGCACAGAGTCTGGTCCATCGACAGACTTCGCTCCTCATGAATATGCTCCTTCAATAATAATTCTGATCTCCAGACTAGTCATCCTGGTAGAGAACAGGTGGCAGCAAGTAGAGGACAGTGGCAGCAACCTTTTAAAGTATATAAAAGGCATGGCAAGGAGGGTTCTAAGGCTCAAACCTTAATTTGGCACATGCTAGACAATGGGGGGTCCACTTGGAGTCTTGCATAATTAGGGGGTTTGGTGAAATTGCATTGTTTTGGTAAATTGCATCAATTAAGTTATTTGTTACTTTATTAAGCTAGAGTCAACTTTTGATTACCTCCTTTGTAGGGTAATCCAAGGGTCATCTTTTATTATACAAAGGATACTGTGTAATTACGATTACTCAATCAAGGAATTATAAAAAATATCTTTGAGATTTCTTTGTGAGTGATTCACAAATTATGAGGGTGTGAGGCCTTCTCTAGGCGTGATGCCTAGGCCCTATTGGTGTGATTTCAATAGGTTTTTGTTGTTTTCAATCCTTTCTCTCTACCAATCTGTTTATTTGAATTTCCAGCCACTTCTCCTTTGTTATTCTACATTTCTACAATCGAACCTCCAAACTTCAGCCCTAATTCTTGGACTTTCAGCCTCTGAATTATTTAGTTCTTAACTATTTAAGGCTTCTCCCTTGTCCTACATCAGTTTTTGGTATCAGAGCCTAAGTAGGATCGAGAAACAAAAGATTGGATAGTAATCAAGAGATTGAGTTGTTGTCACATATAGTGGAACAACTTCTTTTTTTTTTATAAGTAAGTCAAATATATAAAAACCGCTCAAAAGGGGAGCGGATCCCAAACATACAAAAAGGCCAAACAAAAAACAACTCAAGCCTTCAAAGAGGCTAAAAAGAGAACAATCTCCTCAATCGATCTATAATCTCTCCCCGAAACCCAACAAAAAAGAGTGGAAATAATGGAGAACTTAGGCATAGCAATAGGCTTCTCCTTTCTGTCAAAATATCTTTTATTCCTCTCAAGCCAAATGCACCACCAAATACAGAGAGGCGTAGCCCTCCAAGCATCCCGAATGAGAGCCCCAGCTGAGAAACCTCTCCAAGCCTCAATCAATCCTCTAGAGGAACAAGGCATAACCCAAGGAACCCCAAACAAACCAAGCATCAAATCCCAACAAGCTCTAGCCGTGTTGCAATGTAACAAAAGGTGATCAACTGTCTCCTCATCGCAAAGGCACAAGGAACAACGATTGACCACCACCTGATTCCTCCTCAAATTATCCTCTGAATGCTCAATGCGATCAGATAGGAGCTCGAATTTCGCGGCCTTTTAACAAATCGGTAGCCCTTGAAGAAGGATCTGCCTTTGGTACTAATGATGGCAGAAATCGTGAGCAACAACAGCCTTTGAACTCTCAGCAAAGGTGTAATTTGAAGGCTGATCCACCACTACCTCCCATGTTGGAGTTTCCAAGAAATCCATTAGAAGTGAATCATCATGAACGACATGATGCCGCTAGAGATATTCCAAATAAGTCAAGTGATGAAACGTGCAGCACACCGACAACCACCATGCTGCCAAATGGTGGATCAAATGCATCTTTCTATAACATAGCTCATTCTGAAGGAAAGAGTATGATGGCTAGTAAGGATCATGAAAACCTGCTTGATGATGAGACTTGCAACACTGATCATGTGAAAGATGTTGGAGAGAATGTTTACTCCATCTCCACTGTGACACGCATCCTTGAAGACCCTAAAGTTGCTGGCAAGGATGGGCAGCAGACATCTAATTTTCAGATGCAAGTTCGTCGTGGAAAGTTGAAACAAAGCTCGAAAGCTCATTATTGATGGCGGAAGTTGCGTGAATGTTGTGTCCACAGCCACAGTTGAGTCCCTCGAGCCTTCGATCCAACCACATCCACAAACATTCAAAGTGGCTTGGATAGATAGTACTTCTACTCTGAATCGGCCAAAAGATGTGGCTATTGGAGTAGATACTTGGTGTAAATTAGTGGGACCTGCAAAGAAATGGGAGCATGCTTGTGCCAAGAAGCAACAGAAGCTGGTTCAAACATCCACTAACTTGGTAGACGAGGTCTGGAAAAACCAACTGCCAGAAGAAACTAATCCTGTAAGTGATAAGCTAAAGGGGTCTTGCGCCTCAAAAGAGCATTTTAGAGGGTTAAGTTTTCCTACTATTTCCTCAGTTGGTCCTAATGCAGCAATTATGCATTATAAACCAGAGGAGAAAATATGTTTAGAACTTGATCCAAACAGCATTTGTCTATTCGATTCGGGAGTACAGTACCTAGATGGAACCAACTGGGATGCTCTTTCTGTTCTTGCTTGAATACATTCGTCGAAGGATAGCCTTGATTTTTGACATGGTACTGGCCATGGAGTTGGTATCAGAGGTGATGGGTCAGATGCTGATTTTGTTCTTGGGTTGCCTAGAACTAGTCGAGGACATGATGCTATAATCATTGTTTTGGATTGTTTTTCGGAAAAGGCACATTTCCTTCTATGTTCTAAGACCTACAATGCTATCCACAATGCCAAACCTTTTTTTCAAGAAGTTGTCCGACTTCATGGGTTGCACAACACTATTGTTTCTGTTCGAGCTCTGAGGTTTATGCGTTGTTTTTGGTGCAAATTATGGAAAATGCTGAATACAAGGCTGAAATTTTCTTACTCTTTTCACCCTTATGAGCAATTTCATCCCTTTAACTCGTCGGAGCCGAGTTTTGCCAAGCTGGAGAGAAATGGTAGAGAACAGGTGGCAGCAAGTAGAGAACAGTGGCAGCAACCTTTTAAAGTATATAAAAGGCGTGGCAAGGAGGGTTCTAAGGCTCAAACCTTAATTTGGCACATGCTAGACGACGGGGGGTCCACTTGGAGTCTTGCATAATTAGGGGGTTTGGTCAAATTGTATTATTTTGGTAATTGCATCAATTATGGTGAAATTGCATCAATTAGATTAAATTGCATCAATTAAGTTATTCGTTACTTTATTAAGCTAGAGTCAACTTTTGTAAGATTATATGTAATTCTGATTACTCAATCAAGGAATGAATAAAAAATATCTTTGAGATTTCTTTGTGAGTGATTCACAAATTATGAGGGTGTGAGGCCTTCTCTAGGTGTGATGCCTAGGCCTTCTCTAGGTGTGATGCCTAGGCCCTATTGGTGTGATTCCAATAGGTTTTTGTTGTTTTCAATCCTCTCTCTCTACCAATCTGTTTATTTGAATTTCCAGCCACTTCTCCTTTGTTTTTCTATTTCTACAATCGAACCTCCAAATTTCAGCCCTAGATCTTTGGACTTTCAGCCTCTGAATTCTTTAGTTCTTAACTATTTAAGACTTCTCCCTTGTCCTACATCACGTCCACTTCAATCTTGGTTGATTGATTGTTTGTTTGTGTTCAACTCTTTAGTGCAATTCCGCAGCAGTTTAGATGTCAGCACTCATATACTACACTCAGCAATCTAATGCAATGTAATTGAAGAATGCTAAAGAAAAATATATCTACACTCGATTTTCCTTACAAACTCTCTAGCTTGTGTGTTTCTATGTGTCTCTAAGTTTTCTGATAAAATAAGGTATTTAGATTATTAACATAGATGCGTTTTAGATTAAATCATTAAATATAGTCCTATCAGCCATTTGTACTTGCATTGCATTTTGCATGTGATTCATTGCTTAAACTTTAATTTAGGCAACAAGCCACTTATTCTATAATGAAAGACGAGTTTTTATGCTGCTGGTAGTTTACATCAGCAATAATGATAAAGGTACGAATTATACTAGATTCTTAATTTCTTACCCGAGCCAACCTTGCCTCTTTTGACTGACCAGTAGATATTGCACCTTTAATGAGTCCTTGAGCCTGCAAAACAACAAAAGGAAGTCAATGAAGAACCTTATATGCCTAGCATTTAGGAATACTCAACATCAGAAGTGACAAAGTATGTCAAGATGTTCTACCCTACTGATATGTTACCTCATCAAGCTGATCTTGTACTTTCACTGGAAAAATATCCGTTTTTTGTTCATATTGCTTCTTTTGATTGGAAAGAGGTTCAGCCATGAGATTAGCATCTTTCAGTTCTGACTCAACATTACCAGGTGTTTCAGCAATTACAGATTGAGATCTCTCTTCATCAATCTTTACAGGAGCACTTGCATCTTCCAACTTGATAACTTGGCCAGAATCAACTGCAGGATCTTCACCAACAACCTTATCACCTTTGGCAAGTGGTGAAGAATGACTCTCCTCGTGAACATCCGAAGCTTGCTTATCAACTGATTTGCCATTTGACGATGAAGTAATGGCTTCCACATTACTAACAGTTGCTGGCACTTTTGCATGATCATCGTCATGCTTCACCCCGTCGTTCGAGAAATTTAAAGGTAAAGGAGAGCCTAATATGGACCCATCTTTATGAAGATTGTTCGGCTCCTCGTTTCTACTTTGAGAAGTATAATTACTTGGAGAAGCCCCATCAGTTTCAATTGACATAGCAGTCATATCTTTATCAGAAACTAGGCCCAACTTTGTTGTCTCAAAGGTAGTTTCATCCCGTGCAGCATTGATTGTTTTAGGAGTTTCGTTGGAGGAAAGTCTCTTTTGAGTCTACAAATGACCTAATTGTTAGATAAACCACACAATTCAAATTGTCTGTGACAAAAATATATTCAAGAAATATTTATAAGCTAGAAAACAACGAAAATACCTTTGTCTTTAGCCTTGTCCTCTTTTCTTGAGATCCATGCCCATTAGAAGCTTAAATTGAAAGGCAAAAGAAAAAGAAGAAATATTAACAATATATGCCAGTTATTGGTATCTTTAGGAAAGCAGACAAGAACTGTCTATGGCTGGGTAATACTAACAAATCACCTTAACCTCGTTGTCGAACTTATACATCATATTAATATTCATTTATATTCTCATATTGCATATAACATTAAGATGTAGTAATTGGTATATCCGGCCTATGACATTTTTGTCCTAGCTGATAGTCGAAGATGGTGCAGTAACCAGATATCAAAGCATTGCTTTTAGATTGATTTGCCTGTAATGAAGCTTTTGAAGAACTGATATTCGTACCTGTTGGCAGAAAATTAGTCTCCTCATCCGGCTTGTCACCAACAACACTCTTTGCTCTTCGATCTACAGTTTCAAATAAATCTGTTGCAACACAGTTGCAGACTATTCAGTTCTTAACGAGTATGCGTACACAAAAATAGTTGAATGTGTATGAGTATGAGCATGCATGTATATAGATATACAAATTAATTAATTAATCATAACAAGTAATGTTTACACATATATTAACTCAATGCTTCTTTTAGAGAGAGAGAGAGAGAGAGAGATTATGTATGACTACAACATTAAATATGCAAATACAAGTAATTCAAAACAGAAGTAATATGGTGTAGTTAGTCACCAGCAGTTACCATCAAGGCATCAACAAATTATAAGGCCCAAAAGAGCGTCACCATCTAACAGAAGTTAAAAGAAATTCTGAAAGAAAACGTCTGAACCCAGTGATGCCCTGCCAACGCAGGATGCAAAGAGGGGAAGACTGAAGACAAACCTAAATTTTTTTTTTTTTTGGTAGGTTATTTACAGAAATTCTATTGTAATATATGTCTAATAGAGGTTGAATAGACTTTTTTTTTTTTGTATTAAAAAAATAAATAAAAAAATAAATAAAAAATAAAAATAAAAATAATCAATAAAAATTTATCAGTGTTTTGCCTGTGTATATAAAAGTAGAAAGCAATAAAAAAGGTTTGCCTCTGTTTAAATTTTAATAGGAGGAATTGAGACAAGCTTGGAGTGTCAAATCAACAAAACTGGCCCGCACATTCTTTTCGCTAATTGAAGAATACTAGACAAATTTGACAAGCTTTAAAATTACATTGAGATTGTCTACAATATGATGAGGTCTGATTTGCAATAAGGATGGTATAGACAAAATAAAGAAAAGAAATCCCAACAATTTATGTATTTCACTTGGGATTACCACAAATCTGACCCGTGCACCATTCTACAACTACTTAGTCAATTGAGCAGTGAACTCCTACAATGCAGGACACTAGTAGTACATGAAAACTCTTCCAGCTCTTTTATGTTTTTCATTATTATTATTTATTTATTTATTCATTCATTTGAATTTTGTTGTGGAGGGGGGAACTATAACGATATTAAGACAAAATCTGAATCCTTTTTTCTAGCTAAGAAGAAAGTTGAGCTTTTAAGAGAAGTTTTGCATTAACAAACACATCATGAATCAAACATCCCATTTAAGTACACTGAAATAAGCCCGGTGATATCACAGTCTCACTCAAAATAAGTGGCACAGTACGTGCCCTTCCCATTTCATGTCTCAAAGCAATCCATCTTTAGGCAACATTGCTGCTCTCAATCATTCACATGTTAGCATGACCAGGATTTTAAACCATTTTCTACATCCAAAAAAGTTAACCAAATGAAACCAATCTTAGACAGTGCACAATATCCAACAAGCCAAAAATTAATCTTCCTCCTCCTCTTCATTGTTCTTGGAGACATCACAATAATCTCAACCCACGTTTAGTGTCAGAACTCTCATGACATCCAAAAAACAAAGCTGAGCCAGATCTAGCTGATACTTTAAACCATGATTCTGAAATCCATCGACTATGCGCGTGAGCTAATACATTTAGATTCTCTATTTGCTCATATAAAATTAACTACCTAGTTGCCAGATTATCAGCTAAACACAAAATTTTCAAATGTAGCTATAACCTTAAAAGTTAATCGAGATTAAACACCTCAAATGTCGTTCCTAACAAAGATCCATCCTTTAATGTTCATACCACACTATCAAATCAGATATTCCACACGAAAAATATAATTTAAATAAAAAATATACAAAATTCGCATACATTTTTAACACACGCCACTTCAGATCAGACGTCATATACATCAAACACAGAAATGCGCAAAAATAAAAATTAAAAAACATACATATAATACTGTGTGTGTATGGATAGAGAGATAAGATTCGTGATTCATGCCTTCAGCGAGGTTGAGGAAATAAGACATTGAACGCGAAGCTTGGGCTTGAAATCAGTGATGCCCTAAGAGAGATCAAACAATCAATCAATCAATGGAGTTTCTTGAAATGAAGACACCAAATATCAATTGCTTCAATGAAATGCTTGAGAATTTGATAGATCTCTCTGTAAGAGATCGATAAATCAACTGTTGTTTTGTATACAAATTATACAATCACCGGATCACATAGAAATTATACAAATTTCTCTCCTCTCGTTAGTTAAAGGGCACAAGTTAGCAGCAGCAAGGAAAGCGGAATTGTTCGCGTGCGATCAAAGCTATCCTATCAATGTATGGTACGGTCATCGTGACCGTTTGTTAGGGATATCTCATAATGGATGGTTCGATAAGCTCGATCGTTTCAATGATCAGATCTATGTTGTGTGGCCTGTTGCTAAGGGTGGCAAAAACTCGTACCCGGCGGGTCCCCCCCCATCCTCCCCTGTTATGGCGGATTTGGGGGTTCATTTATGTAAGTGAGAAGGGAATGGAGATTATATTTGAAACCTCGGCAATGCCGGGGGAGGGCGCCCCCGCCCCATTTATAATGCATTTTTACAAAACTACCCTTACATGTTACAAAATATTACTAAATTATATAACTATATATGTAATATATTCACTTCTGAAACCCTAGATCTATTCCCTCGCAGCATAGTCATCGTTAGAATAATGTTATTTGTTTTGATTGATCATGTTAAAAATTTTCAGACTATTCCAAAAAATGTTATATGTGGTTTTGCTATAAGTTTGATCGGGTTGAAATGATATGTTTTAAATTGTTATAATTGTGCTGAAGTTTTATTAAATTATTAAGTTGAAAAATATTATAGTTGTGTTGATTTTGGGCGGAGACGAGGGCTAATGTGGAGGGGTGGGGCGGGGACGGGGGAGGGAATTGAAATTTAAACGAGTATCGGGGCGGGGACGGGGGTAAAAAATTTGACCAGGGATGGGGATGGGGAATGAGATCCCCGCCCCATTGCCATCCGTACCTGTTGTTGTGGGTGATAGAATTTGTGGAAATTCCACTTCCTTCCCCAAGCAAGAAAAATATTAGAACATCCACTTCTTGTGATAATGAAGGGAAAGTGATTGGGAGAAAAAAATTGTTTGTATACCATGGAGAAGGAAATTAGAGGACAGAATAATATTAAAAGTCAAAAAACTAATGGAGATAAAATAAAAAATACAGAAATGTTTTATTTTATAACCTAAACAAATTTTTTTACCAAATAGTTTATTTGATAGTTGTTAATTCTCTAATCATTTACCTATGTTGCTTTTTCATTTTCATCCTTATTTTTAAAAAAACATGTAGGTTCAGTTTGTTTAGATGTAAATATATTTTTTAAAATAATTATTTTATTTTCTAATTTTGATTGTCCTAAAATATTTACGAAGAAAAAAAAAAATTAAAACTTAACAAAAATAATTTATCTATCAATTTTGGACAAGTTATTTTACACCCCGCCCTGTGAACTTGTCTTCAATCTCGATTTAAATCTTTGTCAAATGTCAAAAAAATAAAACTTTAATAAAATATTTTACCTTAAAAAAAAAAAAACTTTAAGTCGAAACAAACCTAGCCCTAATATAAAATTTGCATATTTTTTCTTACATTTATTTTCCTATTTTTAAGACAACCAAACATGGTTAAAATATTTCCCTAACCTTTACCAATACTTTTTAAAATTAATTCTCAATATGGGTTATAAATTGATTTTCTCAAAAGAAGTGTGAGACCACATGTGCATAAGGATCTTGTGCTTCTCCTCATACTGTTTCGGTGAACAGAAACAAAGCCCAAATTGGAGCTCCTAAAAATCCGTATCGAACTGCACATTGTGCACCAAAACTATAAACCTGCACATTGGGAGTGTTTACAAGGCTCCATGATATGTTCTTAAGCTTAGTGTCATCGGGTGTTTCACGATCCAATCTAAAAAATTTAAATTTTTAGGTAATTCTAGCACTCAGCTTTATATGTTCAATTCGATGTTGGCCAAGAATACGTGACATTCTCATTCATTCAAATTAGCAGTGCCCTCGTTGCGATTAGTCTAACCTGCCATCCTATTCACCCAATTCAAACACCTCTTGATGTGACACTGAATCAGCAATTTCGGCCTACTCAGGTACCATATCACAATTTGAATACTTCACGTTCCAACTAAAAAACTTAAGTTATTAAATAATATTAACACCCAACCTTATATGTCTAAAACCCTTTCTATTCAGAGATGATATGACATAAGACAAGAACCCATGACATTATATGAGGTTTTTACATTTATATTAGCCCCGAATTGTTTAGAAAAAAAGTAACATACGGGTTAAAAAATACTTAGTTAAATAAGAAGTGAGATAATCTTGTAACAAAAATAAATAAATAAATAAATGATTGAGAGTCTATCTAAAACGTCAAGAAATTATTTTGTACCTCAGGATAACGATTGTTAAATACCCGGCCAATCACAACATTCTATTTCCTATTATCAAAATAAATAGGAGAGTGTGATTGATTGGGGGTATTTAACAAAATTTCCCAACAAAAGGCAACAAAAAAATTATTTGGTTTGATTTAGACCACCAATTGGGCCATTCTGTATCCATTTCTAGGCCCAAAGTTACTATAGACGTTTGTTTGGCCCAGTGCGCGGTTTTTATGGGCAACTGGGCGATATAAATGGTTGGTGGCCACAAGTTCCATCAATTAAGTGAATGGTCAATATCTATAGTTCGATTGAGAAAGATCCATTTCCACCTTAAAAAAATTCACGTGAGACCCACCAAAGATCTCTATCTTCTATTTCTAGAAAGAGATTTACAATTTTAGGTTCTGCAAATATTTAATGTACAACTCTTGATCATTGACCTTCATGCTCATTAATGATTCTGTAGTAAGCAAAAATAATAATATTAATTAATTGAGAAAAAAAAATGCTCTCAACGTTTTAGATTTTGATCAGCAATATGTTATGTTAATAAGTAATATTTTTACTTTGCTTTACAAAATAATTTCTTTTACAATTAAATTTGTCAGATTTTTTAAGTACATTCGTGGTTGAACGTATGAATGAGTAGTATGATTTTAGAACTAGCATTACGCATTTACATTATTTTACACTATTTTATACACTTGCACTTCATTTTTATTTTATTTTATTTTTAAATAAAATAATATGATATGATATAATATAATATGATATGAAGTAATTTTCCTCCAAAACACAAAACACAGAACTTTATAGTAGTAGGGTAACACTTGGACAGTGAGTTAGGTGATCCAAGACCTATCTTCCCAAAATCAAGTTCGGAATCATTCACTATTCTTTGTATTAAATTTTGAAAATGACTCAACACTTTATAGTTATTATTATCGTGTTTATAAATTTAAATCAATTAACTATTACAATTATGTCACATGTTATTGGTTAATAACTACCAATAAAATTATGTTATTTAAGAATAAATCATTCAACCTTAACCTTATTTTATATAACATGTATTATAAAAATCTAAAAATTATAAAAATATATATTTCAAATTACTTGTATTACCCACAACATTTACTCAAAATCTATACTAATGAATTTGGAATTTAAGATTTCAATTCAATTTTAGCCTTATAAATTTTTTCGGTAGGGCTCGGGTTAGCCCCACTCTCGTAGCATCCCTACATCAGAGGAACAATTTCACTATTTTTTTATTATAAATAAAAAAAAAAAAAAAACAAAAAACAAGTTAGACGTAGTGTAAAAATGTGCCAATATCAAATATTTTTAAATTTTATAAACATTATTTATACAGCAAAAGCTAGTAACTACCACAAAAGTATGTGACTTATTGATATATTTTCTCAATTCAAAATGAAAGGTAAAATAATACTTTAAAAAAAAAATCGCTAAATGAGTGTAAAAATTAGCCGTGTTTTAAATTATTAATTAGCAACAACCCAACCCTTAAAATTTCCACCAAAAAAAAAATAATAATAAAAAATCCCAACCCTCAAATAAAATAAAATACTGTAAAAAATAACAGCAACAGTCCCATTGAAGAGTCAGCAGTTCATGGCCATACAGTCAAACGCAGGTGTGAACGGTTCACCAAAATATGTCCAAGGGCGTGTTTGGAGGTAGCGTAGATGTGTGACGTCTCTCCAACAGTCAACAATATCCATATACTTTGAAAAGTATAGAGAGTCTATATACGTATACACATGGTCACTCATTGCATCAGAGACCACCATCTTTCGCGTTGGACGCTGTTTCTTGCTCTGGTATGATTCTTCTTTGACAAAATGATCCAACAAATTATAGTTCCAGCTTATCTCTTCCTACTTTAGCCGCCTTTATTTCCGGTTTTGGTTCTCTCACTACAATCATATTGATATTTATTGTGTCAGACCATTTATACTAGTATTTATGTGTGTATACAATCTGGCTCAGAAAACTATCATCATTTAAACCGTGACATCGACCTTTATAGTACTTGGTTCCTGAGTTTTGGTCAAGTTTCTTATCCGCGTTTGTTCTCTGGTTTTGGTGAATTGAGCATGAAAATATCTGGTTTAGCTTTGGAATGGTACTTCGAATTTGAGCATAAGAAGTATCAGTTTCTCTGATATTATTATATCATCCTTGAGTAGGGTTTTAGGTAATCTCATTTGGGGTTTGTCGGATTTCTGGATTTGGTGAATTGGGTATTTAGAATTTCAGTTTACGTTTTTGTCGCTAGTTCTTTGAGTTTAGATTTCTCGTTATTAATGCAATTGGGTTTGATGTATTTTTGTCTTTAACTAGGTTGGAGAACTTTTGATAGAATTTGGGAAATTGAAGGTGCCCCTTTTGATCACTTTCAAACCCTGGAACTAAAAAATCAGAAGGCTTTTCTACTTCAAACACTTATTTTGATCTGGGTTTCTCTCCTTTGTCAATTTGGCTAACTGGGCTTTGAAGACTTTGGTTGTCTTTGGTGGCAGTGATTGCGGCAATTGAATTCCTCCTTAAAACTGATATATAGGTGGGTTCTCAACTTACTCTCTGCATTTGGGTTTCTTTCCTTTCTCAATTTGGTGAATTGGGCACGTAGTGTGAATTGCCTGAATTGTTCTTTCTTGTCTGGATTTTCAGCTCTTTTTATATATGGGTTTCTCTCCTTTCTCAATTTGGTGAACCTATTTACCAATATCTATCGGTCTATATATATATATATATGTGAACTGGGTTTGAAGACTTTGGTTGACTTTGGCGGTGATTGCGGAGATATATAGGGGGATTCTAAACTTGCAACCCTTTTTACATTCTGGTTAAACTGGTTTGTTAGTTCATTGAACTGGGCATGCACCACATTCCTTGACATGTGAGGTGTCTGCTGACTGGTTTATATGTTAGTCGGTTTTGCTTGATGGCTACTTAATGAATCCAGCTATGCTTTGTTTAATTCTCAAAGATGGAATTTAGGTGCAATGTTTTGTTGAGAATGGCTGTGGTTGTGTTCACTCTGTTGTTGGTGGTGCAATTGCCAAGAATCTTTGCCTCCAGATTGTTAATAGAGTCAGAGGCCTGTGGAACTGATCACATCAGCCATTTGGGTTACTCTGGTCATGAATTGTTTTACATAAATGGGAAATTAGTAGACAAAGATATGTTCTGCAATGCCGTAAAATCCTATCATGCAAATCATTGCTTCATCACTGGAAATGTCAGAAGTTACTGTGGATTGGAGCATTCTTTAGGTAAGAATTGGTACAAAATATTCATTCATCTTATTCAATCGGGGAAAAAAAAAAAAGAAAAAAAGGAATTAGTACAAAATATTGCCTTTTGAGTTCTCTGTGTTAAATGTCATTCTACTTCGTTTTCTTCAGGGAAAAAATTATGCATTTCCTTATGAAGTAGAACTTTTAATCTTGTTTTGCAGGTGAGTTGTCTCTGAAGGCAGGAAGTAAGTTTTTGCAAAAGGTGGTTAGAGAAGAATCTGCAAGCCATAATTTTGATCGGAAAAGTCAACCGAGTGGATGCAAATCTCTGTTAACCCCAAAAAAGTTGACGGCCATGGCAGTACCAGGAATTTTTGTTCTGTGTTGTAGTTTTCTTTGCCCATGTTTTCATAAGAGGAGGAAAGAAACAGGCCACGATGTTCTTTCCAAGAACCCAAGTTCAAGTGAGTCGAAATATCCTTTGTTTTTCGAAGAATTACTATATTGAGACACAGAGGCTTGTCAATATTTGTGATATAGAAGTTTGTTAACAAATTATTATTATTATTATTTTTTTTTTGGGGGGGGGGGGGGGGGGTATTATGGGGTTATGCAACTAGAATATTATGCAGTTACTAACAGTTATAAGATGAATTTTTGTGTAGTGTCCTAGGAGTAGGAAATTGTTTTCACTTATCTTCCCCTAGTGTGGATAAAATTTCTGATTTTGCAGCTTCTCTCCATCATCTAAATTTTACTGGTTAGCTTTTACCTATATGATACAATTTGGCCCATTGAGTTCTTAATGCTCACTGATAAATGGATCCTATTGTGCTTGCAGTGGGTTCAGTTTCCTCTGTGGAAGTGAATTCTGCTTTTGAAAAGATTCAAGGCAGTCCACTAAGACTTCCGCCTACTCCTAGATTTTCCATGTCCCCAGATCTTAAAAGAGTTGGATCAGTTCATCTCAATATGAGTCAGGTTGCTAAAGCCACGAAGAATTTTTCACCTACCATGAAGATTGGTGAGGGAGGCTTTGGAACTGTCTACAAGGCCCAGCTACAAGATGGCCAGATAGTTGCCATAAAACGAGCAAGGAAGGTATGCTACAGTGTGTTCTCATGACCTAAAATTTATAGCTTCAGCTATGTTATTCCCGATCCTGTGATGAAAGTCAATGCCATTATTCTTTTTCTTTGAGTAGGAACTGTCATATTGTTGTTTCAGTTCTTCTGCACATGGCATAAGATTCAACTATAGTGTGTTCCATCCATCTTTAAAATAGAGGTGCCTAAAAGGTTTGCATGGAATACTTATCAAAACAAAAAAAAGAAGGTTTGCATGGAATACAGAATTAGAAGAAGATAGATAACAAATTGAATGTGAGATGCATAAAAGAAGGGAATGATATTTTATTGTGGAATCATGTGTGCATTTGACTGACCTTCTTTGACACAACAGCTTACAACAATAACCCCTTCACAGTAATGACACATTTTTATCTCACAATCAAATAATGTAGCCACCTTGAGAAGATAGCATTTCTAGAGAGAGAATTGCAATATCAATCTATAAGGATCACCATCCATGTTTATTATTTTTTAAAAGTTGACTTTGCAAACCGTAGGATGGTCTTTTTGGTTGGATAGAACTTCATTCTCCAGTCAAATATACAGGAATTTCTCTGTATTAGAATGGATTAGTATTCCTATTAATGTGTACACCAGAGACGATGCCAATTTGTTTTAGAATTTTTTAAATTCCTGGTTTAGGATTTCCAATTTCTCATTATTAATCACCCTTAGCAATTGGAAATTGAAGTCAATAAAAGGATCATATTTGATAATCATAAACAAATTGTCAAGTTAAAAGCCTAAATGCATCAAGATTTTCTTTAGGAATACAAATCAATTTCCGAGTGGAAATTGTGCTAGTTGTAACGGACTGGGTGCTTATACGGTTATACTCAATCATTTTCCTATCCGGATCCGATGTGGGACAAGACCCCCTTGTAACATTCTCCCTCACCCGAACTCGCAACGCCCTTGTTGCAGTCGGGCCACCCTGCCTACACGGGGTGTAGACCCGGATGCTTCTGAGCCGGGCGCTTGGCGTGGCACTGGATTTGGCTCTGATACCAACTGTAACAGGCTGGGTGCTTCGCGATCCGACCAAAAAGGTTAAGCTATTAGGTGGTGCTAACACCCAACCATTTATACCCAATCACTTCCCCATCTGGATCCGATGTGGGACAAGACCCCCTTGTAACACTAGTCCACTATCATGTGTGGATATAAACAAAGTTGCTCTTTAACACAAAGTAGGTAATAAATGGAATTTTAATTCCCATGTCATCTTAAATATGTATAAAATCCTTGTCATGTTAATTTGACTGTAAGATCATTATCTTGAGTTCTATGAATGGCTTAACTAAATAGGTGGTTTTTCTTTCCATGTGACTAGTTTCTTGAAAGTTCTAACAAACCGCCTGTCGAGATTTCCTTGAGTATCCTTCTTCGATGCTATTCCTTAAACATATCTTATGATGTTCCTGTATTAACCTGAAAGTATTGCACAGGAACTCTTCGAAGCTCTAAGAACTGAATTCAGCAGCGAAGTTGAACTTCTGACAAGGATTGATCATAGAAATCTAGTAAAGCTGCTTGGTTATGTTGATAAAGGAAATGAACGCCTAATTATTACGGAATATATGCCGAATGGTACCCTAAGAGATCATTTGGATGGTAAGAGTGTCAAACTTTGGGGATTGGCTGATATGCTAATCTAGACAGTAAATCTAGTGCTCATGTTTTTGCTGCTGCTCCTGGCAGGTTTGCGGGGTAAAGTCTTGGATTTTAATCAGCGACTTGAAATCTCCATTGATATTGCTCATGCCTTGACTTATCTCCATCTCTATGCAGGTGACAACACTTTTCATTTAGTTAATTATTTGTTTTCTAATTGTAAATAAATTTCTATTGTTTATGGGATTGTCATGTAAAACTTTTTTCCTATTGAGTTTGATATACATTATTGGGTCCATCCTCTAATAATTTAAGCTCTAACATGGTATCACAACTTTAGTTCTAGGAAGTCTTGGGTTCAAGTATCCCTCTCTGCTTTAGTTCCTCGATTCACTGTCTAAGTTTGCACTTGTTCTAATCTTGATTTGGTCTATTTGAGTTGCCATGTGGAAGATGGGATTGCATGTCTGGGATGGTGTTGAGCTTGATATACATTATTGGGCCAATTCTCTAGTAGATTAAGCTTTTAGGGTGATTAACATTATTTTTGCGCATAATAGTTGCCAAACATATGGCTTGTGGTACAGCTTATCTGATCGATTCACTTCCTTTCACTCGCCTTACAAGGACCTCCGGTCCTGAAAATGAGTATAGTTTTGAATAGAGAACTATCAAGGGTTCGAAGTCCTCTCTCCTTTTGCTCGTTGAATTGATTTGTTTATTTATTGGTTTTGCCTGGCCCATTATCATAAATAAAGGGGAATAGTTCGGCTATCCCACCTAGCCAAGCTAGGAAATAATAAATTAGATATAAATAAGCCAGGAAAGACATTTTAAGTATGACTTGATTCTAATATGTACGATGGAATCAAATTGATTCCTACTTCAAGCATTGGACTTTGTGGCTCAATTAAGAGGGGTTGTGGAAAGAACGTGTTCAAAATCACGATCAATTCCTTATTCAAATCCTGTTGCAGCTATCGGCTATAGATAGTCATCTTTCGAGTTGTTTAGGTTCTGGAATTCCATCTCTAGTTGGCAAGAGGAAGGTATGGCGAGCCAAACCCATGTTGTCGGCACCCTTTTTCTCATTGGGTTGGATAGATCGAGGGTTCCAGACCTCCTTAAGTAGTAGTAGGTCCAGTCCCAGTTTTCTTAGGTTTTTTGGGTATGCAAAGTCAGAAGAAGCACTTGTGGAAAGGCCAGTTGAGTTTGATAGGTCTAGTTGAGTTATTTGTTTATTTACTACTCTGCTAGTCGGTGTTGGTCAGACTTCCCTGCTTGTGACTGATTTTCATGAATTCCATCTCCCCAGGATCCATGATGTCCTATCCGATGGCCATTAACTGCCTTCAAGGAATTTCTTACTCAAAAGTACGAGAGTTCAGCAGAAAAGATGGGAGGAGTGATGGATCCCTTACTTTCACCTGCATTTAAAAAATAAAAAATAAATTAAAGTGGCATGATGTTGTTGGTAACGAGGGGGGTTCGGTTCACGTCTATACGTTTGGTCATTGGGCTTAATTGATTCTTGGATAGCTTGCTCTGGACTTTCTATAGATTTTGCAGGCGCAGGGGAAACTCGGCTTCAAAACCCTTCACCTAGGAAATTTGTTCGGTGTCTCGGAGTTGTAATCTTTCCACCCCGCTCCCAACTAAAAAGACCATGAGCACTTTGATGGGACGCTCATTCCTGAGAAACAAAACGAGCATTGTGTAAAGTGGAAAGGGCGGCTGTTCGTACACTTTCCGGAAATGGTGGAAATATACTCCAGTGCTTAGTAGAATTAAGGATTAGCTTTGTCTTCAAGTGAAGGGGTGAGGGGAACTGCTCAAAAAAGAGGAAAGAAAGAGGAGTGACAAGGTTCAGTTCAGATTTGACTGTTTGCAGCGTGGGAGCGGTTTACCCAAAAAATCCCTGGCAACAATTAAAAAAATAAGATATCTTGGTAATGAAAACTACCATTTTGTGCCACAATCATTTAGATAATTAACTTCTCAGAGGCAAAAAACTGAAGATACCAGTTTGACTTCTGTAGAATCTGTTAGCAGGTCCAGGTTGACTTTGATAGCAGCTGTAAGCAGGTCCAGGGCCCATAAACATTTCCTTCTCTTTCTTCAGTATCACAGAGCATGAAAGCTGCTGTAATGGATTAGTGGCTTTTTATTTAGAGTCTGAAAATTGACTGCTGCAAGTGCAAGACGTTCATAATATTTAAATAAAAGAGCAAGTGGGATTGTAAGCTTTATTATATTATAGACAAAATCCTTTATCTTCGTAAAGTAATTAGCCTGGTGCATAAATAAGAGGGGCCAAGTTGGATTGTTACGCTGCGGCTAGATGATAGTGAACACAGTCATAATTACTGAATAATTCTTTTTGAACTCAAAATCTTTTCAACTGTATATTATCTCATTATATTAAGTTAGAAATTGGTTTTCTAACTCTTAGGAAATAAGAAATAGTAACTGGAAAGAGAGAAATAAAGCTCGAGGAAGTGGAAAGAAATGGCCAACAGAAGCATATTTGTAATTCACATCATAGGCCTATTGAATCATCTTTGTAATTTACATGATAAGCAGAGGTCATTAAAGCGTTCAGTATGATCTTCATTTTATAATTTTTGACATAGCTTACTGCTACCCCGAATATTTGGCCTTTGTTTTCAAAATGATCGCAGGGAACTTATTTAAATTTAAAGCATTCTTCTAATTCCGTGTCTGGACATACTTGTTTGGCATGTGCCCAGTGGTAGTCTCTTCAATATGTAGCCTCTACCTTTAAAATTATGTTGGTCATGTTCAATTCATATTTAGCAAAAGTTAAAGCAATCGTGTATCATAGCTCATTTTACTGAAAATTCTGCTGTGTGTTTCTTGAGCCATTTGCTGCCTGTTATTTTGTTGATTTTACAACAGAGAAGCAGATTATCCACCGAGATGTGAAGTCATCTAATATTCTTCTGACTGAGAGCATGAGAGCCAAAGTAGCTGATTTTGGATTTGCGAGGCTTGGTGCAATGGACTCGGATAAATCACATGTTTCAACCAAAGTGAAAGGGACTATTGGTTACCTTGACCCTGAGTATATGAGGACCCGTCAACTCACAGCTAAGAGCGATGTATACTCATTTGGGATTTTACTATTAGAAATTCTAACAGGCCGTCGCCCTGTGGAGTTGACTACACCTGCCAATGAAAGGGTGACGCTTAGATGGGTATCATCTCTTCCCTTCTTACTTGTGAACTTAGTAGCATGAATGCATAGTTCTTTGATCTGATCGCCTTTGGCTTCCTAAAAACAGATGCATGCTACCTCACTGCAGTGATAGGGCTGCAAATAAGCCAACAAGCCATATCTGGGCTTAGCACGGGGTTGGCCCGAACTCGTGATGACTTCAGTAAAATGAGATCGAGCATAGCTCGTATCTGCGAGTTGGCTTGCTCACTAGTTAGCTCATGAAACATATTATTTTAAATTTTATTACTTTTGTTACTTCTAGTATATTTTATTGCTTTCAATTTCAATAGATGGTTATGAAACTTTTTAAAATAAAAAAAAGAAATAAAATGATTAGGCTTGTATACATGAGCCAACATGAGCGAGCCTATCATTACTTAAGTCAGTTATTTTATAAATGAGATAGTAGGTTAAGCTAAGCATAGTCTTTTATCTTATAAACGAACACGGGCCAAGAAGAGCTCGTTCATTTGCAGGTCCTATTAGCAGGGGTAATGCAAATGGTTTTCAGCAACCTCAGATGTCGAAGTCCCTTACATTCCAAGAGTCCAAACTTATGCTAACTGCTAATCTGTTTTTAACTCACCTCGAATTATTGTGTAGGCCTTCAAGCAGTACAATGAAGGAAACGTTACGGGGATGAAGGATCCTCTAATGCAGGAGGTGGTAGATGAGCAGATATTAATGAAAATGTTTGATTTGGCAATCCAATGTGCAGCGCCCACACGTACCGATCGTCCAGACATGAAGTCAGTGGGAGAGCAGTTGTGGGGTATTAGGATGGGTTACCTCAAGACAGGAAGCAGAGGAAATTAAGTGCAAATTGAGTGTGTGATTATTCAAAAAGTCGGTTGTCATGTAGAGAATCCTAAACTAAGCTATTCTCGTCTTTTCATTTTAGTTTGATACCCTGTTGTGTAGCATGCATTAACAGGAATAAGCTATTTATTCACTTGTTTGAAGATTGCTTTTTCTTTTTTCGTTTGGATAAGTTCTTTCTTTGGTCTTTTTCTCACATGCCATTCACGAAGAAGGAACAAGAAGCAGCAGCAAAAGAAGACGACATTGTCCCTCTAAGTAACATGACACTAGAGCAACTCAGAAGTCGATATTTGTTTTTCTACTATTTCAGTAGGTGCTCCAGATAGGAATACAAGAACATCTCACAGCATATATTCATCAGTAATTTCTCTCAGTTCCACATTTCGAAGTTATAAATGCAAAAGTCATATGTTACCTGAAAATTGGATACATAAACCATAGTTTCATCATCTTATGCAACTCTTCAATCAAAAGCCTAACTGAAATGATGATCAGAACCAGCAAATAGCATTACCCAGAATTGACGCCAACACAGCATAATCTGTTTTAGTGATCGGTAGTCTCTCCTGCAATATAACATAGTGGCTAGACCGCAGAAGCCAACGTCTGGAATTGGAAAATACACACCAAATGCTTAGGAACAAATTGGAATATACCTAGGTTACAAGCTCGAATTTTACAACCAACGCACACGAAACATGCATCAGAGCCTGTCTGAACAAGGACTGGTAAAGGGTTTGAGCCTCTAACGATTACTCTGGGGTTAACATCTAAAAGCACCATGAACATGGATGTTTGCCAGAAAACAAGCACAAATTTCCATTTCCATCTTGACCGAATTATTCAAACCATAGTTGAACAGTATTGAAATTAGAGTGGAAAAAGGAAAAAGGAAAAAGGAAAAAAGACGAATAGATAAAAAAAGATCTATATAATTAAATTACCATCCAATACAAGAAGATGAAACTCAACATATTAATCCTGCAAAAAGGAATCTCAGATATTCTTAATGTCACTTGATAAAGAATCACGAGGGGAAAAAGCTCATCTCCTAGTTACTATACAATTACCGGTTAATTACCGCAGTGTATTACAACACATATCTCTGTGGCTAAAGCCACCAACTAGACCGGGATCCTTATTGTCACTATCTAGTCTCTAGTACCAACACAGGCTACGTAACGAGCACAAAAAAAAAAAAAAAAACAAAGGGTAAGAATGAACATTGCAACTTTCTCTTCAACACTTCTGAGAATGGCATCTACTAGTAAATCCAGAATAACTTGACGGGCCCAAAACCATTTCCCTTTACTGGTGGGGGAAAAATGTTTAATTGTTAGATTCAGCTAAAGATTGCTCTGCCGTGAAAGCTTTCGCTCTGAACTAAATATGTCTCTCACCAAAAACCAAAATGAACTATCCAATCTCTAGCACTTCCCTGCTTCGTTCATCAGTTGCCTTTCTGCGTAGCAGGGCCCTAAAAATCGAGACAACTGCAATCAGAGCTATTTGCATGTGCTCAGAGCTATTTGCCTTTACACAAACCTGACCCATCTTCCGGCTATTTAGATTTGCATTAACCGACATTCTTGTGCCTCGGCTTATCCGGAAGCCAGACTTAAAATGTCCACCCAATACCATTTCTTTATTATAGGACAGAACCGTCATTGCCAAGCTGACTTTTTCATTCCTCACAGGGTAATCTCTCCCTCCTAAAGTCGCCTCCAAACTCCCACCATAAGCCACTTGTCCAAGACCCCCCATTTGACCAGCATTCATCACAAACTTTAGTCTCTTCCCAACTAGAATACTGTCTTCAAGCTTTGCACCAACGTAGTACTTGTTCCCGAAAGATGTCACAGAGACTCCACATTCAGTGATATTGCGCTTCAAGTATCTCAGCTTCGTGTTGCTGTGAATGGTACAGATCAAATCTTTACCGGTAGATTGAACATTTAGGCCAACACTATAAGTGGGTCCCCTGGGGTCAATCAAAGCTGCCGCACACTCAGATTGAATACTGAAATCTTGTTTGTCCTTGCTCAGCTGTCCAGTCACGGATGCAAAGATGTCTTTTTTCATTTCCACAGCAGTCTCCAAATTTATTCCATCGAAGCCTACATCATGATCCCAACCGTGGGGATCAAGAACGGGCCTTGCAAGCCACTGGTCATTTGATAAAACACAACGATATCTATGTACAGGGCAATCTGAGTCAAAACTTGGAGGAACCGCCATATCAGGTAATAGAACAGGCTCCGGAGGCCCCTCTTGGTTATCAGAATTATCATCACTGGCCATACAGCCATCTTTCATACGCTTTCTCTCTCTTCGTTTACGCAACTCTTCTTTCAACTGTTTCTTCAAATATAGGGTCTCCCTATAATCCAGCTCGTCAAGGTAATTCTGTTTTTGGGAGTTGGTCAATTTCTCAAACTGAGGTTTTGTCAGGATTCGAATTGGAGGTAATTGATCATATTCATCTTCTTCCTCCATGTCTGAAAGAGACATCACCTCAATCTCATCATCTGCTCCAGTTGGGCTTACAACAGCACGATGCTGAAGAAAAGACGAAAGGAGATGGGGCAGAGAAGGCAGCCGAGTACTACTCAATGGCCCCAGTTCAATGTTGTCTCGAAAGTCCAAGAGCATATTAACATCACCTAAAACTTTGGTGCATATGCATAATAACAAGAACTGAGATTTCCATACCTGTCCATTTGGAAGAATTTTCTCACCAGAAAAATCAGTCCTACAATGAGGATGATTCTCCACCAAAAGTACAGGGTTTTCCAGTTTTGTGTCGAAAACTGCCTGGTGAATGTAGTGCTGCACCAGATCAGTACATTGGGTCAGATAAGATTCATAGCTCACAGGATACCCATTGGGACCTTCAGGAAGAGCTGAGGAACAATGAGTCAAGACAAGGATGGTGTTAAACCAAATTGCAGAACCAAATATATCAGTTATAAGCTTCAATAGGGGAAAATCACTATAGCCCGTGTTGATCAAGTCGAGGCGTTCAAAATATAAAACAATGTCTGGAGGGGATTTTCTGATGAATCTCTTCACAGAGCACAAAAGTTCCCTATTTTTCCTAACAGTGCTTGTAGAGATGGGCAACAAACCAGGGGTATCAATAAACGTTATTCTAATTCCATTAACAGTCCCCGCAACCTCTCTGATGCGATCAGTGGAAGGTCGAAATGCATCAGTTGTGGCCTTAGTTTGATCAAATATTGAATTTATGGTTGCACTCTTCCCAACGCCTGTTTTCCCCAGCACAAGTACTCTAAATGAAAAATCCAATTCAGGTAGGCCAGATGTCTCTTGTTCTGCTGCTATTCCTCTAGCTCTATCACTTCCCAGATTAGCTTTTCTCAACTCTGATTCCCCTGCTCGTATCAAAGTTGCCAGGTGTATCCTATATAAGACCTTTGCCACCAAAAGATTGTCTTGCGACTGGCCAAGTTTCCGGACAAGACGCAAGAACTTAATTTGAAGACCCTCGATCTTTGCCAATGGATCTAGCTTCTTTTGATCAGTGCTGCAATAAGATTGATAAGAACTTCCGGCTGCAACTTGCTGTAAGGAATGATCTTGATTTTCTTGATTACTATTGCTAAAGTGAGATGTATCAGCAGCTACTGGCAGTGCAACCAAACTGGCAGCTTGTTCTGATCCTAAAATATAAAAAGCAATAAGGTCTTAATAGCAAAAATGTATCAATAAGAAAAAGTTTAAGTGACAAAATAAAAGTTAACTTCCAATGTTGAAGCAAGGTTTTGACAATCTCACAAATAGAATCGCAACATTTTATAAGTTATATATCTATGGCTCAAGTACGCATGCCAATTGTTAGTATTTTAAAAGACACTATGAAACATGATGCACAGAGAAGCTTAACCTATGAAACCAAGATATTCTGAATAAGAGACTCAGTGGGGTTAACTTGACTCATAATAATTGGGTAATTTGATGTTTCAGTGACTCCCGAATCGCAGATTTTGACTGAGCTAGTCCATGCCATGACTTAATAGACTTCAATGTATTAAGAGCTTATTTTATATATATTCAGAACATTTTATGACATTAAGGAATACTCTTCCTGCTCCCCAGCTACCGCAAACAAATTCCTATTTAGAATATGATATTTAATATTGATTGATAGTGTTGCCAAAAAGAGTCATACCACAACTACCAATAAAGCATGGTGAATGATGCTGGAAATAGAACACACTCCTATAGCCTTGTGATAGTGACATATGACTGAACTTTAATAATGTAGTTTTTTTTTTTTTAAGTGAATCGTATGAACAGAAAAATATGGTGTTAAGAAGATTTGTCTACATACCAGCACTATCAATTAAGCTTTGTTGTAAACAATTACACAGAGAAGGAAAACCTCGTTATAAACACAGCACCTCAGTTACAACAGTTAACAGAGGCCCTAAAAATTTATAATCAAATCCACAAATCAATTTGGTAGTTCAAAATTCTTCAAGCCAATTCTAATTTTTTGTCACCAGTAAATGAAAATTAACTAAACTTTTCAAAACAAATTCTTTTCTTATAGCTTCCAACAAGAAGACAAGTCCTTTCCAAGAAATTGTCAAACCTATAATATAATCCATCTCCTTTCTGTTATCTAGCCTATTTCAGTGTGATAAGCCTTCCCAATCATAATATCATGTTACACGCATATGACAATGTATAAATACTAAATCTCCAACCTCTATCCTGGCATCCCTTAAAAAATATATACTGTAATAAACTGCATCCAAACAATGAATGGATGTCCTCTCACCATCTTTGCACCTCAAATTTAATTGATGAAGGCCGGCAGAACAGAGACAGTGAGATATAGGGAGGCTTCATAGAACCAAATTTACACGCACATTTAAATTGAAAAGTTAAAATTGGAACTTTTTAAAGGTGCATCTTCAAATAATAACGATGCATCATTGTATCTAAGAATCATCTTGCAATCATATCGAGTAAGGGAATCATCATCGTCAAGTAAGGGAATAGACAAGGATACCTGAGTCACCAGACACTTCATCCAGAGGTACCTCATCAAAAAAACTATCACTGCCTGACAATGGTCTTGCTGCAACCAATGACTTGGATACTAACTGAGACACAACCCAATCCTTAATGCCCATCATGCTTCCTGTAAATAACAAAAAGGATTACTATGATGCATATTCTGAAAACACTCAACCAGCACCCCTATGCATGGAGAAAAATTGTTTTTCAACAGCACCTTAATGGAACACAGAGTAAACAGTATACAAAACTAAAAGTAAAAAAGTTAAATAACTAATGACCAAAATAACTTCTATATTACCAAATGGAATTACACAATTAATGGCAAATCAAAGAATCCAGCCAAATCCACCTTTTCGACTGTTGAACATGCAAAGAACTAAACATGCAAAGTCCAAATTAAATATATATCTGAGCTTATTCCTTAAGACTCATAATATAGAAAAGCCATCATTGTTAAATTCAGTTCATCAAGAGCATTTGTGTGACTATTTAGCTCACACGAAACCCTTCTCATAATCTTATCTAGTGCAGCTTTTTCAGTGCTCAGCAAATAGTATAGAACTCGGTATTAATGAAAATTAAAGAACTCTTGGTAGTAGCTAGTTCAGATGCAGTCTGCATCAAGCCATCAACAGGTACAAAACAATGAAAACTATCTAGTCTTTTTTTTCACCAATATGTGATGGAAAGTATCTGATATGATAATAGACTATAGCTTAGATAATTAAGATGGAATTCTACCATAAACTACATAACCTATGAGCATCCAATCACAACCGATGTAAAGTTTTGGCATCCTCAATGACGGCAAAAATATTGTTTTGACATGCTAAGCACACACCTCACCTGTCTGTGAGTGAAAGTTTTCTTCACAAGCCCACTGGAACTTAATTGTAAGCACTCCTCTACCATCCTAATGGTGGTAGGCACAACAGTGTGAAAAGCCCAATCAACCTCCTTAAATAGGTATAATTTTGTGTGAACATTTATTATTATTATGTATAAAACTAAACCTTTAAGTAATGGAGTACGCCAGCCTAAACCATTCCAAACCTGACTGTGACATTTCCAAGCCCGTTCCAACTTCCAACACGGGCAAGGCAGAATGGTTACCCAGCTAATGTTGCCAATAGCCATCCCTTAATGTCCTTGATATTTCAACTACCTGACCATCTAGAAACTTTCTGATTGTACCTAATATTCCATCAAATTGACTATTTTAGTTCTAGGGGTATCTGTTATTCCTGGTCTCATCCTGTGAAGCAAAGTTGGACAGTGTTGCCCCGCCAATGTACATTAATGTTGCTCCTTCACCCTTGGCCATGTTTCCAATAAAATTGAGATCTCTCATGTTATTTCTCACTTACTCAAAGCATGCCCATTATCGCATTTACCATGTCCTTGCAAGTTGCAACCCCTTAAACCAAAATGGCATCAGTCTCCTGTAATTGTTTCACAATAGTAAATCATCTCAACAAGCATACTCATCTTGTTCAAAACACGGCTACTTAAAACTGTATCATAAGTTTTAAGCATATAAGCCTATATGAACTTGACCACAATTGTTTAATGTGCATGCAATTTTTTGACTAAATACCATAGTACACATCCTGCGGTAACAAAGCACCAGTATTGTGGCACTCTTGCAATATTCTTCCATCAATAGGTCAATCGCATAACACTCAAGAAAATACCTTTACCTCTTCTTTTTTAATTCAATCTCATATTTCAGATTAGTACCAGTCAACAGTGATTCCAATAAAAAATGCATTTGATTTCATTCATGCATTAAAAACACAGACATACACATACACATAAAAATCAACTATTTCTATAACTAATTCAAATTTCCACAATTTAGCAATTCAAGATAAACAAATTAACAGTAGGTGGAGGTTTACCTGATCAGAATACTGCTGCAGACAACTCCCACTTCTACGAAAATGAGAAGAAGTCCAGAAAAACCGAATCGGTAGAAAGATTGAGACTATATTCTGCAAATATATTCATTTTCCACTCATTGTGTCAGCATAAACTAAAATTTGGGGAAATTATGAGTTAAAATAACTAACTCAATCCAGCTCCAAGTCAAAACGACCAACAAGAATCAGCTTAAAACTCTCTTACATAACCTAATGAAAAGCACGTAAAAAAAATAAACAGATCGAAAAGTTTTCGAGAATTGAAAACAATTCTCGAATTCGACACGCAATAATCGAGAGAATCTTTAAACCCTAATCGTATATGAATTCACGAGACAGCGTGATTGATGGTAAGCTTTTCAAATGAGAAGACAAATAGAGAAAGAAGAACAAGAAAAGAAAGAATGATTAGGTTTTTTATCAGATAAGACACAAAAACGACGTTGTAGTGATTGTGCGCCCGAAAGAAAGAGAGAGTGTTTGGTAAACGGGAAGGCGATAAATTGACATGTGGCCTTGTTTTCTGGAGGATAAAAGTAACAGAAGACAAATCTCGTGACTCGTACGTAACGAGGGTCGAACAACTAGTTGATTGTTATAAATTCAATACGACACCGTGGGTCTTTTGTGTCCCCAATTGCCATATCAAGAATTTCGTTGCTAATAAAGCTCGTAGATTTGTGATGAAAAAATGAACATTAATTACTCAAATCTTGTACAATATTAATTATAGGTAAATACCAATCCAATTTTATAAGTACAATATTTATTTGAGTAATTAATTACTCAAAAAGTACTAATTTAAAATATAATCTTTAGACAAACTCAATTACAAGTGAAAATTAACTTACTCAAATTAATTAATTACTCGAGAAGTACTAATTTAAAATATAATCTATAGACTCAATTACAAGTAAAAATTAGCTTTCGCACCCTTTATTAATTTATTTATTTATTTTTGTCTCTGTAAGATATGATCCTCAAATTTTTTATTTTATTTAAAAATATATATATTTTGAAAGGTGGAAAAGATATCATTAAAAATAAAGATATTATATATAGTCATTTTTCATCATTTTAATGTTAAACAAGGTAAAATGGCTCATTGAGGGGGGGGACTACACTGTTTTAAAAACAAAAACCAGGGTCCCTTTTCCTTTTTGGTTAACAGGACTCAGGAGAAGCTAAAAGGCATGAGTGTCTAGCCGATGCCCAAATGGTTGCATAAGCAGCTGATCACGATCGGGTTTTGTATCGTAAAAATTTTAATTGATTGGAGCATGAATATGGTTCTAGCTCCGGATGTCAAGATTAGAGTAGCAACATAATCTGTAACCTGTCACACAAAAAAAAAAAAATTTGGCCAACGGACGGAGTTAGAATTTTAGTTTAGGAGGATACAGTGTTAAGAAAAATAAATATATATTTAAAGGAGCAGAAGGGAAAAAAAAAATAACCAGAAGGAAAAAAATAAGAAAAACAACAACTTAAAAACGAAAAAATTAAAATTTAGTTTAACTTTTTAAAAAAGAATTTGAAGAGTATATTGTTAAAAAAACTAGAAAAATAAGAGATAATTTAAAAACCAAATAATTTGAAGGAGGCCATTATATAAAAAATTTAATATAAATACATATAAAATATAAAAAAAAAAAATTCTATATGTATAGTGGGAGGGGCCAAGGGGTGCCACCCCTGGGCATACGCTGCCTCTGCCCCTACGAGTACAACGTGAGAGAAATTCTGGATTTGGCCGAGTGTATTGCATCTGATGCACTAACTGCAGAGGTGTAACTCAAAATCTTTTGAAGTGCAAAGGAAGTTTTGAAGTGCCTTCCTCATCATCTTTAAGCCCAGTATAAAACTCAACTGCATTATTTAACTTTCCGGGGTAAATTGGACTAGTGTACTATATTATAGTTCAATCAACTGAAAATAATATACTTCACATGTGGCAAAGTTGTGCCCAGTGTTCAGATATCAACACAAACAAGTAAATGTCCTCTCTTCTTTGGCCTTCTAAACAAGCAATAATGCTTTCCTCATTCACTCTTCAGGCTATGTTATTACAGTTTACAGATTATTTGAGGCAGAAAATGTTTACAGCTACTAGCAGTCAAATCCATCAGGCTGCTAAAACGGTGTTTTCTTTGAACGGACTTTTATAATAAACAGTTTTAACTTTTAAGGAACAATAAACAGTTTAAGGAACAATGATGTTCATAAATTTTCTCTTAGCAAATGCCAACCACCATTTATTTGGAGTCCCATTGGGTCTGTATGCAACGCTCAGTAGTCTCCCACTGGTTTCCTCCCGTATCTGCTTCAGATAATTCCTTAATAACTCTGCATTAAATAATTACAAAATCAAGGAATATTGTGAAATATAATTTTGAAAAAAAAAAAAAAAAGGGAAATATGGGACGAACATACATGAAGTGTGCTCAGTATCAACAGAAGGTACGCAATAGCACCACCTCAATTAGTGAGGTGAAACCAATGTGCTATTCCAAACACATTTTCAGCTTCGTATTATCATCGTTTATATATTAGAATTCCGCCCTATGTTGCTTTACCAACATGAAAGCATGACAAAAGCCACTGAATCATCAAATAGTCATCGCCCAGATGTAATTTATGCATCACTACCCTGCTTTCTTGTTGTCAATAATTATTGTAATAAACCCAAGAAACAAAACTCCATGCAATTTGGTGATTTTATTAGGCTGTGGCTGTACAACTGGAGAATGTATGGCACACTCTCTCTCTGGACTTAAAACCTGCTCTCTTATACATAAACACTGAAAACATTTGCATGTGAGGTTGGAAAAGACCATTACTCAATCTTTCCAAAAATTTACTCAAACGGTGACAGTGGGAGCTATTAATTGTATGCTTCACGAAAATCTTTCCTTTTTCCCACCTATCAACTACAAGACTAGCCTTATCCTATCCCACCCATTGGCTGTCTTCCCAAGGAACTGAACACCTAACCATTACAAGACCAGCACATACAGAAAGTTGCCACCAAATAATGTAATGTGTCAAAATAATAACTTTGTCCGACTTGCACAAGCAAGCATGTTGCATCAACTTAGAGCATCCTCTACTTTATACAAAAACAACAACAATCAAGCCCTTTGCCCAACTACTTGGGGTCGGCTACATGAATTGTATGATTCCATTCCGCTCTATTTAAGGCCATAGTCGATCCACACAACCATCTACTTTATGCTAAGGAGAAGAAAAAAAAAAAAAGAAGACAGAATCTAGCCTAGCAAACCCCGGAATAACAAAATCATCTGACTGAAAACAAGATAGGTAAGGGTTTGTGTTGTAGATTTTGATCCAATGTTTAAAGAATAGGACATCTGGACATGGACATGACTTAGCCTAAGGGCTTTCAAAAGGCAAAAACCATAAAAGGATCATTACCCAGTTTATTCCATGTTAAAGAAGGGAAATGCAAAAACCATAAATTTCCTCAATAAGAAGGTGATCTTGATAAACTCTTGACAGGGGTTATCGCTGCTTTAAAACTATTAAACCAAAAATTGGAGAAGCAACATATGGATTTTCACATAATCATTGAAGTAGTTGGAGTATCAATTATATAGCTTATACTCTCTTTTAAAAATGGCAACAAGACAGTCGTGAAGTACAAAGAACAAAATTACTAACTTGAACAAGAAATGAACATCGCAAATAAAAAAATTATTTCCTTAAAATAACACTTTTCTGCATATCTAAGATGTGAGGGGATACTAATACATAAATTACATATAGTACTAATAAGAACAAAGATGGGAATGAACTTTACCTGCTTCTTTCTGCGATTGAGGAGGCACAAAGAGGCCTGGAAAGGGAAAACCTGATTCTCCAGGAACAGGAACCTTTTCCAGACCCAAGTTAATAATTGCCTTGGTACCTTCAGCCAAAGTTCTGCAGCCCTCGAGCCTCTTCAAAGCCACATTGATATAGAATGTCAGATAGATAAGTAGTTTATCTGCTGAGCTTTTGATATCAAAGTTTCTGAAGAAGACATTGGCGCGAAAGAATGTGATTGCTTCATCAACAATATCCGTTCTTTCTGCATTCAATCTATATAAGTGTCGACCATCAAAGAGAAGAATTGTTGAAATAGTTTGCTAAAAGTAGATGAAACAATTTAAGCCTAACCTTGATCGGAAACTGGAGCAGGACCCTTTATATGGCTTTTTAAAGGAAGAAGAGGGCAGCCACACGCTTTGGTAATTCCTTCATCATCAACAAAACTGGAGTGGTAAACCTGCAGTGATAACCATCTGTAAGTTTCAATGCAGCATTGATTACGGTGGAGTCACTAAAAAAAATCAGAGCATGCAAAAATGGACAACCAACCCCCCTCCCCCCCAAACCCCCCCCCCCCCCCCCCCCCCCCCCCCCCCCAATTCCCCGGAAACCAAAAAAAAAACACACACACAAAAATAAAAGTACAGATAGGAAAGGATATATATAGAAAAAGAAAAAGGACTCTGTGTTTGTGTGGACACTGTTTGAACTAATAGCGAGTACACCGTTTCAACTTTTCAATGTTCATATTGCATCAAGTCAGTAGCATCTCTGCTTGCTCAACAATCAAGATCAATTCTAAACTCATGTACGCTGCAGCAAAAGTATAAATCAACCAAAATCGTTTCCTTTCTCATGGGAAATATTTCTGGAAGACGAAGGGTGCATATATTGGAAGCCCATAAAAAATAAACTATAAGACTTCAAAGAAAATGAAAGGAAATGGATAACGCACCATCAGCCTTCTATTCTACTGATTTCTGGCTGTAAAATAATTTGCACAAAGTTGACTTTTTTGTCAATCTATGTGTGGAACACATGTAGAGTTTGCATAACAAAAGTACATGTAAAGCTTGGTTTCCTTCATCCACAAAATTGCATTATTTGTTGAAGTTAACCTAAAATTTCATGGCAGTCATAAATATAAAAAATAATAAGAAAACACAAGTTCTTCTCCACAATTTAATTATCTATAAAGACCACTTCTCAACAACTATATCTCCAACCAACAGAGGAAGTTTCTAAGCTAAAACAATATGATTTTTAAAAAGAATATTTTAAAATACTACCACACCGAAGTCATAGAAGAAATAACTTAGAGAAACAGCTTTTTAGACCCAGACTCCTTCTCAAACACATGGCAACCCAGCAAATGTAATGAAATTTGCACACAATATTTTCTTATGCAGGGATTAGCGAGAATACTATAAAATTCTCATCAAGCAACAATAGGGAAATCATATGCATGAAACATGACATGTACAATATGAATGGTTCATGGTATTTATCCTGGTCATCCCCCACAAGGCAAAATTATAGATTTTTTTATGAAAGAGAAAATTAGCATAACAACATAAATAACTTCATAATTAAACCTGCTTTCAGATAAACCTTCCTATTAACTACCCAAGGACTACTTCCCTGTAGAGTATCCATGTTAAACTACCTAAACCATCCAAACTCTTGTCCATACCCAATGTTCGCACTGAAACATTTTTGTGACCCAATTTGAAATAGTACCCATCAAGTCCAAACAAGATAAACAGAAACAAGAATAAAAGTTAAATTTGCATATAGATTCATTCCTTACCATGTTGGTCCCCACACAAGCTACTCTTACCACGGAAGAGTTTTAACCTCAGTGATCAGATTCTCGCACTGAACGGACAAAATTTTCTGCAGAAATCACCAGCACAATTTTTGGTCATATCTGACACCAGTGATAAACACACGAGAACCTTGAACTGCATAGCACACTAGTACCAAACCATAATGCATAGAACAAAATCAACGATTTCCATCTGAAAATACACCATATTTTGAATGATGCTAGAAACTAAAGCAGACAACAATGTTGAACATTACACCTACGAGCTCAAGTCATATATGAGGAGACAACTTCAAGCAGGCTCTAACTAATTTTAGCAAAGAACAAAGGCGTAAACTAAGAAAAATGCATTACAAGAAAAACTTGACTGAGAAATGAGCACTTCCATTCTATTAGCATTACTCAAATAAAAATGTTGACATGAATAAATGGCATACTATGGATGCATTCTTGCGAATTAAAAAATGGCACTGGTTGGAGATGATATGAAGGAAGGCGTCAAGTTAAGTTGAGGTCTGAAACTACATGGTCTCGGCCAATCACAACTCGACACACAAGTAAATGTGCCAGCTTTATTCGGATTTTTGCTTGTGTGTTAGGTTGTGATTGGCCAAGACCATGTAGTCCCAGGCTATGTAATAATTTTTTAAAACAAACACTCAACCTCCCCTTTGGGGAGGATAAATCATACCATCTGAGCTATTGTCCATTAGTGGCACTCACCATTTCTCACATTCATAAAGACATCATTCGGCAAATAATTTTAATGTCTTTGTATATTGAATTATGCGCAGTTCAAATCAAATCTTGCTCTTCAAATCAAAGTAACTACTTTTGAAATTTAATCCAAATAGTGCCATGTCAAATTACTAAATCTTTTTTCTTCAAACGAATAGAGGTAAAGCCGAGTAACATATGTTTGATCTTGAAACGATAATCTACGATGGTTGATTTACCATAATTCAATATATTATCATGATCGTTGCATAAAAATTATACTCAGAAACATATGAACGATCTGCGAATCTTTCAATATATAAAAACAGATATGAAATCCCTAATATCCAGCAAACATGTATATATCTAAATCTCTTATATAGAACAAAGTGATGAGATGAGAAACCTATAGAAGAGTACCTGTGATTGTCAATCGGAGAATTGGGAACTGTTTCACTATCGATCGGATCGGAGAAGGTGAGACAATTGAGCGTCTGGATTATTATATTTAAAGCGGGAGCTAACTTTTACCTAACAATATTTACCCCTCCATTTCTACATCATACCATTCGTGTACTATCACTCCAACTAAATGATTTTACAATTTTGTCCACGGAGGTCAAGGGCCTAATTAAGTTTTATCGTGTTAATCTAACCCGTTTAGCAAACTATTTTGATTTGAGTAATGCTCTAATTGGGGTTTTATTTTTTATGGTTACTTCAACCGCTGACAGGTGCCAACGTGTTCGAGCATTACCACCCCTTTTTCTTTGTGATTACTAATTCTTAACATCTTATCATGAAAATAAAATAAAAAATATTAAAAATAGAGTTTCTCTTCCCAAAATATTTAAATTAACAGTGGATAGGTGAAAATACCAAATATTTATTCATTTTATATATTTTTTATTATTATTTTGGTCCTCAAAAGTACGTCTAAGCAACCATACCATTTGCCCCAAGCATTTTAAGGTACAAACCTGCATTCAACCACTTTTTTTTTTTTTTCCTTGAGGTTCCCCAAATTTTATTAAACCTTCAATTTGTAGTTACTTTCACTTAATTAAGACAATTTTAATTAAATTTTAAAAAATAAATAAATAAATTTGATAACTTCAACCATTTCAATTCTAAATTAAAATATATCCTCTCTATAAATTCACTATAAAACCCACTTCTCTCATTCACAACACATAACCCCTCCCCACAACTTTACTTATATTTCTACTATTCTCCTATAGTATACACAATCATGGCAAAATTATACAGAGTATATCTCACTACTTATATTATCAATGTTTGTTTACATGACAACTTCTAAACTAGTCGTTCCACCGAATGAGCATAGAGCATTTTACGATAGTCCAGGACTACTACCACCCGAATCATGGTCAAATAAAGAAATAGTGAGTTGCTGGCCATCTGTAGCAAAGATTAATAGGTGTATAACAATTATTTATGTAGTTATTCTCAAAGGTCAGTTCACCAGTTTAATCGCAGAATGTTGTGAGGACATCTCTAAAATTGTTGATAGTTGCTGGCCTAGACTGTTCCCTTTTCTACTTAAATTTTTAGCATTGATCAAAGATTACTTCGGTAAAGTTGCGCAGGCACCAACAACCATTAATGGAGGAGTGTAAGCATGCACTGTGATCATGCACAAATAAAGAGCTAGCTACGTTAATTAGTTGAGGAGATTGAATTCTTTTATTGTTTAGTTAAGGGCTTGAAGTTTACGGTGAGAGAGTACTTGGTGGGAGTCATTTTGTTTCTCAGGCTAGTTTTTGTGAAATTTTCATGTTATTTTTGTATGAATTACTCTTCCCCTTTCTACCTGAATTTTCAGCATTGATTAAGGATTACTGTGCTAAAGTTGCGCAGGCACCAACAACCATTAATGGAGGAGTGTAAGCATGCACTGTGATCATGCACAAATAAGGAGCTAGCTACTTTAATTAGTTGAGAAGATTGAATTCTTTTATTGTTTAGTTATGGGCTTGAATTTTACAATGAGATAGTACTTGGTAATGGAGTCTTTTTGTTTCTCAGGCTAGTTTTTGTGAAATTTTCATGTTATTTTTGTATGAATAATTCCATACTAAATAAATGTTTGGTTTTCTTACTTTTCTCTCTACTTTTTATGTACACGAAGCAAAAATAATATATATATATATATATATATATATATATATATATGTATGTATATTTTTTGGAAACAAAAATATGTGGGTGATAAAATATTTTCACTCCAATAAATGCTTCACTTTAGCCAGCAAGAAAGTTTTCTTATCACAACAGGTGAAAATTAATATTATTAAAAAAAAAAAAAAGAAAGATGTTTTGTTTGTCCTAAGCAAACAAAGTTAAACTAATTATAATTATTTGATAAGATTCAAATGAAATAATGAAATCAATATTATCTTTACTCAAATTAAATAAAATTTAAATTTCTAAAAATTCATTTCTACCTTTTAAATTTCAAAACTCACTCTCTAAAATTTAAATATATAAAGAAAATGATCCAGTTAAGAAATTGAGGCCAGCCTAGACCTAAGTACACCAAGTTTTTTTTTTTTTTTTTTAAAAGACAAATGTAAGGCTGCAAATTAACCAAATGAAACGAATTGAGCTTTACTTGCTCGGACTCAACTAGCCAGGCTTTACTTGCACAGGCTTGACCAGTCAGAATTCCAACACTCCATATTCAAGCTCCCCCAGTCTGAAAAATAATATATATATATATATATATATATATATATATATATATATATATATATATATATTTTGGAAACAAAAATATGTGGGTGATAAAATATTTTCACTCCAATAAATGCTTCACTTTAGCCAGCAAGAAAGTTTTCTTATCACAACAGGTGAAAATTAATATTATTAATCTCGTCCTTAAATTTAAATATATATATATTTAGAGTTAAAGACAAAATGACAAAATAATATACTACAATAAGACCACTTTAAAATTGTAAGCGAGGTCATTGACAATTTAAAATACATGAAATATCAAATTGTGAAAAACTTCAAATAAATTTACACTTTAACAACATATGAGTTATAACATTTCCAATTATCCATTGGCTTTTGAAATTACATCATTACTTACTTATGTACAAACATATATATCAATTTATTTATTTATTTTGTGTTTGTGTGTGTCTGTGTTTTATGCTCATCCTTAATATGTGTGTAAAAAAAAATATATCATTTCATGTGTGTGCGTTTAATTTTTAATTTTTATGTTCATCCTTAGTGTATAAAAATTTATATTTCCTACATGCACCAGGTTTAACTTTGTTTAACCATACATTTGATAACATTAAGACCACTGCATCTTCTCTAATGTCAATTTTAAAGCAAATACAAATTAATTTTGACAAGGACATGACAAAAAGTGGTCTTAATACGCCACTTTTTACAATATACCGTACAATTTTCAATTTTTTATTTTTCTTAAAAATAGATCTCACATTGGCTCTACTTAAAATAAATAAATAAATAAATAAAAATGTTATTGGCATTTCATAACGTTGATGAGTGTTCTTATTTTCCCCAAATTACAAAACAGCCCCCCACCAAATTGTTGTTATTATTATTATTTGTTGTTTCCAACCCTAACCCAATTTCTAATACTACTTTTCCAATCACGCCCTTGACACCATTTCATATCATTCGTGTTCCGTAGATATCACTCCAAGTAAATGATTTTACGATTTTGTCCATGGAGGCCAAGGACCTTATTCGATTTTATAATTACAACTATTTTATTTGAGTAATGTTATAATTAGGGATCGGTTTTTTATGTTAACTTCAATAAATGATGTTTAAAAAGAATTCTTAGTCAGTAATGAATAAAATTAAAGTTTTTCCTCTCTAAATATTTTCAATCAACAGTGTAATACCCCGTATTTTATTAAAGAGTTTAGTTTATTTAAATTCATTTATGTGTGGATTTCTTTACCTATTATTGTGCATGCTACATTGTTATATTAAGTTCATTTAATGGTGCATGTAAATTAATTGTATATGTTAAAATAGTAAATTTATTCATTTAATTGTGCATGTATTATTATTAATAATTTTATTTGTTGATTATGTTTAATTAAGCAATATTAGTTAATTAAAGTATTATATTTATGTTATAAAGTATTATGATGATATAATGTATTCTTATGTAATAATAATAATAATTATAATAGTTATTAATAATAATAATAATATAATAATATTAATTATAATAGTTTATTAATAATAATAATAATAATAGTTATAATAATAATAATAGTTATAATAATAATAATAGTATTAAATCATAAGTCATGATGAAATTAGAGATTATGATAGGATTTCATTAATATTTATAGGTAAGACTTGAAGCCATATGGTTGGGAATGTGGTGAGTTTAATGTAAATTTAGATATTTGTAATATTTATATTATTTTAATTTGTATAAATATTAGTTAGTTTGATGAGAAGGTAAGTTAGAAACCAATTTAAAATAGTAGAGAGTTGTTGTTAGAGAAAAGAAAGAGAAAAAATGTGAGAGAGAAAGAAAGGAGCTTGGACCGGTGTAGGAGAAATTTACCCGACTACGCGCAACCGGCGGATTTATTTTAAATCCAAAAAGGCAAGTTATTATCTACTTTTCCCCTTTGAGTCCATAAATTATTCATTACATTTATTCGGCTATTTTTTTTGAGGTTAGAAACCATGCTAGGACAATGAGAAATTAATTATTTAATTTATTAAAATAATGAGATATTAATTATTTAAGGGTTAAATAATTTATTATTAGCCTAGGTAATTATTTGAAACTTAGGAAATTGTTATTTAAGGCTTTAGAATTTTTTCTAGAATTTTTGGGCAATTTTCGGAATTTTTCTGTATTTTCCGGCGACCCTCCGGCGAGTTTTTCCAGTCGCCGGCAATGGGGGAGATGACCGGAGTGATCCGGTGTGATGCGGCGCACCATAGGAGGGTGTGCGCGCGCATCCTGGGCCTTAGATGAAGCTGATTGATCCGGTGCATCGCGGTCCATGTTACCGCGGTACACCCGGATCTATGAACATAGGATTGAGTGATGAGAGGGTGAGATGATTCAGTGTAGCGCGCCCATAGTAGGATGATGCAGCCAACGAATTAGGACGAGCCACGTCATCAGGATGCATTAGTGCGCGCGTGGCTGATGCCAGACGCGCGTGGGAGCGTGGGGAAGGTTGGGCTGCACGTGGGGAGGCTCTGGGAGGCACGTGAGGGCGCGTGTGGGGTCTCTACAGCTGCTGAAAATTACCAGAATACCCCTAGGGCCTGTTTTGTAAATTCCAGAACCGTAAACTTGGATTTTTAGGTACTGTGTTGGTATTTACGGGTTTAACGGGCCACGAAATTATTATTTTAATACCCGTTACTTATTCTTATGGCTGATTAATCTTTTCTAAGCATTTATTGGCTCGTTCACAGTACGGATACTAATGTGATTTATTTAACGACATTGTTAAATATAAATAGTGTTATTATCTTATTAAATGGTATCAAACATTACTGTTAAAT